ACCTTACCGAGTCCTATCGTACTAAGTTCTCACTGCCTAACCCATTAGACTCTTGGCATGAAGATTAATATCCTTTTAATATTGTGAACATGAATTTTAGTGACTATTGATCATTATTACGCAAAAACTACTGCACGGATACGAATTCATTTTGCTACACACATAGATCACATTCCAAATTAACACATACGAATTTATACTCAATTTCAAGCAGGTGACGCCGCGACATGATGCTTGTTATTTATATGTATCAGTGCATATAAGTTAGTACATAAACTACATAAGCATCTAACGTCAGGTCACCCGACGTCCACTACACCCAAGATGCCGGCTCTCACAATATATCTGTTGATTAATTAATACTACAATGCGGTACAAGTACTAATTAACAAAGGGCATTTAGGTATGGGCTTCGCAGGTCGGGCTGGCCATCTAATCAGATTACCTACTGTTTAACCTGCTTACAAAGCAATTTGAACTCAATGGCCTGTAGTGAGTAGACATTATTGTACATAATACTAAATGGTAGGGTTTCTCGTATCATATAATCTGTCTTGAACTTTAAGGAATCTACATATAAAGTTTTAAACGTTGTGTAATAATTTTCTGCGCATATGAAAATAATGGAAATCCACGTGAGAGAATGCAAACAATCTACCAATTTGCATACTTAGTTAAAATAAGCATCCGTTATTTAAATATACTAAAACCGCAGTATGTAACACAATAGTAATTCATATTGTTTGTTTGTATTGGTTTCGATGTCTTCTATAATATGTATGTATTTAGAAAAAAATGTATAACAATAATAATAATAACTCTTTATTGCGCATACATAAACATAGGACAGTAAATACAAAATGTATCTATGTACTTATATCAGTACTCTAGTACCTAAAACACAATCTCTGCTTAGCTTGGGATTAGATGGCGCTGTGTAAATTGTCAACATTATTATTACTATTATCATTTATAATATTAAAAACTCGTCGGTTTCAATGTATGAAATCTTCACTTTACTCTAATAAATAAATGATAGTAATTTGCACTTAGGTGATGTGGGTATACATACGCCTTTGTCGTCATCGTATCTCATTCGTCTCCTAACAAAATTGAGATCGCTGTCAAACGCTCTTTACTTACACATTTTTTTAAATTGAGAAAATATTTCGTAAATAAATATAATACTATATATAATAGGTTATAATTGCATATCTATGAATAAAATATAATTAAAATGAATCTTTACCGACTTCACATTATTATAACATATGAAGTTTAGTATTCACTGATATCTACAGAAAAAACAGACGGATGTCTGTGTATATAAGACAGAAATTTTCTAAGGATATGTTACAAAGTGAGCAAAGCTTTGGCTTACAACTACTTAACATTTAATTATCGTAGCACTTTCATTACGAGGGATTATAAAAAAAAACTCGAAAAATGTTCTAGAATTGCAAAATCATCCCGCTTTGTGATACAAAAGTTTAGACGTAACTGATTAATTTCGGTCGAGTTTAAAAGGGTGCTTGCTGCTCTAAGTAAATTTTCCGTTCATTAGATGGCTTAACGAAGTGGAAATGTGGGTCTCAAAGCATTTTGAATCCACTTTATTATACAACAGAAATACACATTAGGAAACAATTATTGATTTGATACCTAAGGATGTTATATAAATAGTTCTAGAATGCAAGAATTATCTATACCTATTGATAACGATAATTTTACAGCATTAACTTATTTTTTTTTGTTCTATATAATAAAACATAAAAAAATAGGTTAATGCTGTAAAATATAGCAATATGAGGAAATATCTACAAACAGAGAAAACAAAATATTATTATATCTGTCCACAGATTATGTACCTTGAACAACAAAAATAAATTCCCCAGACTTCATAAATAAATTTCAGAAATACTTGACAGTAATCATCGACACTTTTTTAACAAAAAAAAATTATAAGTATTATGTAAAATATAATATACCTGCTACGGTAATACTTAATTCAAAACTGAAAATGCACTAAGTCTAGACTTGTCAACCAACCATCCAGGATTTTCCGGCCTGCTTTTCGTGCACGCTTTACTGAGTCGCACTCAAAGCAACTTTCCGCTTTAGAATTTTGCATTATATTGGACCATCACAGAAATGTGTCAAACCGGAAAGCAACTCACATTGCATGCAACGTGAAATGTTATTTGTCTGAATAGTTTTTATTATTTTGAAACTATTTAAAAACTTATTAACAAACTCGTGACTAAACTCTAACACAAGCCAAGCAAGCAAGGGAAATTTTATACAGTCATCTGCGTATAACAATGTCACATCCAATTAATAACTATTTTGTAATCTGTGTTCACGTGTGCAGGACGAGATATAGCCGTCAGATTAAGGTTCAACGTAGGACAGAACAACTCATTCTTTAGGATATGCAATGTGTCTATTCATGCATATTCGTCGTCATGTTATCATTGTCGTCACCTACATATACTCCAATAATTCGTTTTTCTGTTCTAATTTAATAACATAATAATAATAACGCAAAGGAATGTAAAAAAAATTTTAATACGCTTATCCCGTAACGCTAATATATCCCGGTCAAACCCGCTCAGGATTCACGGTAAAAGCAATTCGTTTGTGTTACGTTATCACCGGCGAGCCATAACTATAGACAAGCCACTGATTTATTCAGACCCAAATTTGTTACATAGCTGTTTTGAAATATGAATATTCATTGCCCCACATAATATATACAGAAATGTATTTTGAAAATTATAGAAAAACTTCCTTTCAATATATTTCACTTTAGCTATTCTAATAGTCTTCGAACTGATATAACCTCCTAAGTTTGCGTAGGTACCTTTTGTGATTTATATCAATTATCATTCATTATCAATTATACTACAGATAAAATGCCTATGAAGGGTGTCGTTGTGAACAATGTTAAGACTGAAAAACAACCTTCTGTTAATTAACTAAAAGAACTCCTTCATTAATTTTGAATGTCAATTAGCTAGCTAGCTTTTCTGTATGTTAAGTAGGTCTTTTCTAATATTTTTTGCACTGTGAATTCACTTCTAGTATAATTAAAGGAAACCCTTTTTCATTGAAAAGGTGCTCATATGTTTGTATATATTACCGAAACCTTTCTTGGGATGAGAGCTGCTATTTGTAAGCAGACACGCTCTTGTTAAAGCAAAGCCCCTCACCAAATCCGGGGTCAACCTCGCCTCAGGAGACCTCTAAAATAAATAGTTCCAATCTGTCTGATAATACGTATCATTTGTAAGGATTTCCGCAAAGCAGTTGGTTTTCACTTTGTGTAAAAAAATACCACATCGAAACGTAAAGTAAATATTCAGTACACGTTTAAAGATCTACTTTAAACTGGACCAATAATTTACCTAATGGTATTATGTAATATCCTTTTATCTGTTACCATACTAAATAGCTCGTATTAGTTCGAAAGATTCTTTTGTTTCGGTGTTTGTATTGGATAAACTCAAAAAATAGACGTTTCTGGTAAAACACCACAAAACGTCTCCTAAAAATCAAACGGTATCAAACGGCTTATTCATATTAACATGAATAAACTCGTTTTACCAACAGATTTTTATTTTTTCATAATATTATTTCCAAAAACAATGATTAGCTGCTAAGTTATGATAACTACACAATATGTACAGTGTATAATCTACGATGGCCAGGACCATGCAAATTCCCGACCGGAAGAATTAACGTTATAAGGATGTTACGTTATTTGTTAGCTATACATATTAGTTACAGTTTTATCGTATATTATTCTATGTAGCGTTTAGCGTTACGTATTTTATATAAGTTTAGACAGAACATAAGGGAGTCTACGCTTACAAATCTAAAAGAGAAAATAGTCGATACCACTGTTTTACATTTTTGCCTGACACTTTTCGATAGGCGTTACACAATGATATGATGTGCAAAATGTTTATTGATGGCAAAGTCTGACATAAATAATTAGGGTCTAATAAATTTTTGTATCTAAATGCATATATCTACTTAAACAAAAACAATATGTGAAGAAAATAATACGTTTTAAATTTACAACTCTGGGTATGTAAGTCATATTCACGCCTTACAGTTTGTATATTGAGACGAACCACAACTGTATCAAATGAGACATAAATGTTAAAAAAACAGATAATGTTGTAAAGTATAATACATTGCTTCTATAATATTGAGGAAAGCATAAGGAAAATATAGTTTTTCAAAAGATGTATAGCTATAAGACGAAGAGTTTGAAGTTAGATCAGTTATCCGATCATAGCGAATAAACTAGGAATCAACAACGTTGGATTTCTAGGAAGACCGCGTGGAAAACATCCTGTCAGTGTACATTACTAATAATGGGCTCCCAAAAATTGTCGCTATTTCCCATTGAAAATCACTATCTCTATGGCAAATACAGAGACACAAAAAACACTGTTATATTCATACAAATTGAGATACTTACTTACGTCATTTATCTGTCTGCGTGCTCGACTCTGGGGCATACGTCCTGTGGCTATACGTTACCAGCACTATATATTTTGTGGATAGCCTGAACTTTACGCTGTAGCTGTCGTCAGCACACCACTTATCTAAATTGAATCTGTAGCTTCCAGAGCGATGTTTTATTTTACTTTTTGTAGTTTCATCCCATCTATAGATTTTTTTACACAAACATAATTTTTATTGTTATACCAACTATATGAATAACTTACACGCGTGTCAAAGTAGTGCAAGGGGCATTAATTACAAACATGTACTCAAAAAGAAGTAACCTTTCGTAAACATATAAAAGTAAATAAAATTCATGTTAAGTAATACACTACTACTTTTTTTATAAAAGTATTGTTTAAACTAAATAAAATAAATTTTAGATAAGTTTAGAGAATGACTATCCCGAATTAATATAAATAAAAGATCCATAGTATCTAATATAACATTTTATTTGTATTATAAATAATTAATATAATAATTATTTTATTAAATTATAACCAATGATTGATATAGCACGATACATTATTGTACATCATTATTATAACATTGCAATTTTCACAATCATAATAGCTAAGCAACTGCACAAATATTAAATAATTAAAATCCAATGTCTCCTCATTTTTCACACCACATTGTTATAGTCATGCCTATGAGTATTTATCAGATCAATCAAATGTTATAAATATCAGTAACAAGACCTGCTGCAATTGTGACACCTGAAACACGCAACATTACCCGTCCCAACTCCTTGACATCTTTGTACCGTTCAATACAGATTGGTCTGCAGACTTCGATATCTACAACGGCTACAGAGTTATTGCCTAAACAACGAGGCTTCTTTTTCATAGGTTCCCCTGTACTTTTATTCAGTAGTGCTTTTAATTTCACTATATTAGCAGGCTCTACCAATGACTGATGGTGTATTAACACAGGGTAGCCTTTAGTTATGGGTACTTTGACATTAAAAACAACAATTCTTGCTTCAAATTTAGTGGTAACTGGCACTTGTTGGATAGTATCACTCAATATATATCCAACAGATACATTCTGCATGTCCACACCAGACAGTGTAACACTGACCTGATCCCCAGCAAAAGCAACATTATTTGTCATGTCATTTATACTTATACTTCTAACTTCAGCCAACTCTTTTGTTGGGCACAACAATACTTTATCACCTTTATTGAGTACACCAGTTTCAATGCGTCCTGAAACACAAAATCCAGACCCAGTGCCTTTATAAACATCATTTATTGAGAAACGCAATGGTTTGGAGACAGGTCTCTCAGGAACATTGAACTTATCAATAACATCTAAAAGGCAAGGGCCACTGTACCATTTCAACAGCTCTGGCTCAGTCGGTGTTTTTACAAGATTCTCACCAGTCAAGCCTGAACATGGAACATAAGTGACATCAGCTTCTTTAAAACCTGCTTGTTTCAAGAATACTTTCAGTTTTTTTGTAATCTCATTAAATCTCTCTTGAGACCAGGTAGTTGTATCTAGTTTGTTAACAGCCACTGCAAGCTGACTGACTCCAAGTGATCGGACAAGAAGTGCATGTTCCCGAGTCTGACCACCAAGATCAAAGCCTGATTCAAATTCCCCCCTTGTTGCATCCACTACTAATAAAGCAACATCAGCTTGGCCTGCCCCAGTTATCATATTTGGAATGAAATCTGCATGTCCAGGGGCATCAAGAATTACTACTTTCTTAGTTTTCGTCTCAAACTGAGCATGACCTACATCCATAGTAATTCCTCGCACTCTCTCCTCACCAGTTTCATCTAATACCCATGCATACATGAAGCTTTGTTTACCAATCTTCTTACTTTCCTGCTCATACTTGTGCAATGTCCTTTGACTAACTTCTCCCATTTCACAGAGTAAACGCCCCATTAGAGTTGACTTACCAGCGTCAACATGACCAATAACCACTATATACAAGTGATCCTTATCCGATCCCCTTTCAGTTGTATATTGCTTATTGGGATCTATTTTATTGTCTTTTGTTTTAGTTGACGCCTTTTCTTCAGACTGATCAATCTTTGGTGTTAGAACTCTCTCAGTAGCTGGTGACTGATCTCTGGGTGTTTGTGGATGACTACTCAACCCTGAATTGTTGTCTGATATCACTTTAAATCCTTTAACAACAGCATTACTTTTAGGCTCAGAAACTGATGCCACTACTATTGGAATTGACTCTTTTGTTGATATAACAGGTGCTTTCACTGGATCAATAATACCGAGAGACTTAACTTGTTCTACCTTAGGCACCTCAGGTTCTTTATTCGTGTTCTTACTTAAAATTTCATCTAAAGCTTTATTATAATCAAACTTGTTGTTAAGAACACTTTGTATCAAGATGTTTTCTGCTATTGTATCACCTAATATGTTGCGTAACTCATCTAAGCAGGACATAAGCTTCGTTTCTTGTTCGTCATCGAGATTCAGGCTAAGCAAATCTACAGACTCCCGTCGATCTAAACTAGGACGAGATGCTTCTGGCACCTCATCCTCGGTCTCCTCCTGGATATCATGATGGCTGTCTAAGAAGTGAGATATCGCTTGCTGATTTCGTGACCGGTCATACATCCACTGATCAGTATCACTCGGTGATAAACAACTCTCATCTTCAACTGAATGTCCATAAACATCGTCGTAGTCGTAGTCGTCAGAATAATTTCTGTTCCTAACATTACGATGGCGTGCCATTTTCAAATTCAAGAACACACTAATGCTTATGAAAACACCATATTGCAAAAAGGTTTTGACTTTTGCGATTATATGAAAATAAATAATACACGTTTTCGCAAATTTGTCTTTTACGCCTGCTTTTGACAGCGAGATAGTGACATTTCTTTGTTTTGAAATTCTGACATCAGTCACAAGCGACTATCCGTTCGTCAATCACATTCAGAACAATACCACAGAATAAATACATTGTAAATTACAAATCTTAGTTCTGTAGTAGTTGTTGAATTGGGAGTGATATAAACTAGATTTTAAAGGATATTATTATTAAAAAACTTACATGATGTTAAACGTAATTTTACAATGAAAGAACTTTGTAGACATGAACCTCTATGTTCTTTCAACACATATTGTCGTCTTAGAGTGTTTTTAATTACTACAAATTCAACTTGAATCGTGTTAAATTTACTGATTCTAATTATTTTAATTTAATAGAACTAATATATTAGGTTATACTTTTCCCGAAACTAAGGAAATAAATATTTGTCTATGTCATGTTATTGACAATGACGACTGACAGTATTTTAATTTGACGGTATTTCACACACAGATCATCAAGTCAATTGTTTTTGTCATCGTCGTATATCTATTAATTGGAATTCTTATTACGTTTACGCCTACAATTTATATTTTTTACAATAAACAACACAGTCAGTTAAAAAGACTTTTATTCTATCCATTCACTAATTCGTACACTAAATATAAAAAAAAACTTTCAACTGCTTTCATTTCACCAAAGTTTGTAACTTCTGGTAGAGTTTTAAAATCTTGACCCAACTCATATCATTTTTATCATGAAGAAAAAGGTAAGCTTTTCAACAGATTAAAGCACTTGCTTACTTATGTTATTATTAAAAAAATACTAAGCTTTCTCTAAAGTAAATAATTAACAAGCATTATTAACAAGAATACCTTTCATCAAGGACCACTTGATGGAAAGGTATTCTTCACCAACTTTAAAACCAAATTTATATTCTCAGGTACTCTTGATGGGCAAGAGTGGCTCAGGAAAGACAAGTATGAGATCCATCATATTTGCTAATTATATAGCAAGAGATACTAGACGATTAGGTGCAACAAGTGAGTAATTTTACACTTTATTTATATTTTTAAATGAATATATGTCACAAAGAAGGTGACATATGAATTGTTGTTTATTCTGGTAAATTGTGCTCAGTACATATTTTTAAATTTGGAATTAATTAGATAGAGTAATGTTAATGAAATTATATACCTGCCATTGTTAAGGGTATATACTCATAGAGACCAGTGGTGGATGACCATGTGATGTAGAACAATAATTAAGTGTGTCATTCTTTTTTATAGGCAGCCTCATTGTCATAGTGTTACTCTTTGTTCACATTAAAACATGATTTACACTTGATATTGTCTTTTAGTCCATAACAACACAAGATCAGGTCAGTTAGCCCTTTATGACAAATTCACCAGACATTAATCACAATGGTTTCCTAGGGGGACCAGACTGCTGTGAATGTGATATGGTACTTTTCTAGCAGTAGTGTCATTTCACAGGGATTGATAGTAATGGAGAGTCACATTACTGCCAATTCTCTTCTTGCAATATTTATATTTATGCATTATCAATATTGGATATCTATATGATCACCATGAGCATAAAGTCAGATTAGTTTACCCATAGTGACAAATTTATCATAAAGAAAAAAAATTGACATTACATGTTCCAGGAAGAACCACAGGGTGGTCTATCAGACCTATGGAATCATTAGTCCACATTACTAACAATCCCATTCCTCTCAATATTTGTATATTAAAAATATGTGTCAAACTTTCAGTTGATGTTGAACACTCACATGTCCGTTTCCTCGGAAACTTGGTACTTAACCTGTGGGACTGTGGAGGACAGGAGGCATTCATGGAAAACTACTTTGCATCACAACGAGACAACATATTTAGAAATGTAGAAGTGCTAATTTATGTGTTTGATGTTGAGAGTCGAGAGATGGAGAAGGACATGCATTATTATCAGTCATGCTTGGAAGCTATATTGCAGGTAATGTCCATACTAATATTATAAATTTGAAAGTGTGTCTGGCTGTCTGCTTGCTACATTTTCACGTTTTTTTTCATTTTGAATTCTGCTAATTTGCAATCTTTTTTTTCATACAATAGTCCAATCCATTTAAGAATTTACAAGACCATGATCCCGGCCTGCTATTTTGTATGAATCAGAGTGCTGGCCCATAAAGGCGACGGATGAGAGACGACTGCGTGCAACTGAAATGCGAATGTTGAGATTGATGTGTGGTGTGTCGAGTATAGATAAGATAAAGAACGAATACATCAGAGGAAGTATGAAAGTTGCACCGATGTCAGAGAGGTTAAAGAGTAATTGTCTATCGTGGTATGGGCATGTAATGCGTAGGAATAAAGATCATATCCTACGAACATATGAATGTAGATGGTTATAAGGGTAGAGGAAGACCGAAAAAGAGATGGATGGACTGTGTGAAAGATGATATGGTGAGAAAGGGAGTAAATAACGTAATGTCTGCGAACAGAGATGAATGGAAGAGAAAAACATATTACGCCGACCCCAAATAAATGGGATAAGGAAGAAGCAGATGATGATGAGTCCAATCCATTTAAGATAGACAGTCATCTAATCTGACGACTGTCTTAAATCTGTATTCCTATAAATTCATGATGCTGGTCCAATGTGTCAGCTCTCAGGTGCTATCTTCATATCTTTCCGCTAATCCCTGGAAGTCTTTTCCACCGCAAGAGTGTTAGACTCCCCAATCCCTGCCTTTTCACAACTAAATATGGCTGAATGGATTTTATTGAAATTTTAATGTTAATGGAAGTAGGTTGTCATTTATCTTTAAGAATAATTTAGGAAAAGGTGAAATAAAGAATGAAATTTTATGCAGATAAATTTGTGAATTGGTTAATATATCTTACAGAGTCAAAGATGTTCAAATATTATATGATTTTAAATTATCTACCTATGGAGTTATTGATTATTAGTCATTTTGTAAATTCTCACAAGCATTGTTTAATTTAAATACTTATATTATATTATCTGCTGTGTTAATCCTGAACATAGTCTGTTCATGGTATCAGTACTGTTTAAATTGTGTCATTTTTATACATTAGTTTGGCTATATTAATTACATGGTTATTCATTTCTGTCTGATTCATTCTAATAAATAACTGTGAATCATGATGTATGGACCTTATTGTAGCATTTTTACAGATAAATGTCACCACACATTTTTATACTAGCTATAGATATATGGATATAGCATTGAGAGATATGAAGACTTCCACGAGACCTTTGCCAGGTTGTTAATGCATAATCTAAAATTACTTTTATAGGAACCATGGGGAAATACTGTTTGATTAAGGTTTTTTTATGCATGTTAATGAAATTGTACACCTGCCTGCACTAACGGTCTATGCTGGCAGGGCACAAGTAGAGGTTTATAAAATGAGCATTAGGTCAAGGTAACATATCACAATGGTTTCCAGGGGGAACCAAGTTCAAGTCAACCTGACATGGTATATTACTAGCAATGGGGTTATTAGTTCACATTACGAACAAATCCATTCCCCCGTGATTAAGGGCTATCAGAACTGAAACATTAAAAATATTATTTATGTTATTGCGAATTTCAGAACTCACCTGAAGCCCGAATATTTTGTCTAGTACACAAAATGGATCTTGTCTCAGAAGAGCAGCGTGATGAAATTTTCAGAGCGCGAGAGGAAGACTTGAAGGGGCTCTCAAAACCCTTAGAATGTACATGTTTTAGAACAAGCATATGGGACGAAACTTTATATAAGTGAGTAAAGAAATTAAATTTACAATTTTTATTGCAATATGGAGTTATATAGTTGTCATATTTATAACTGAAACAAATTGTAACTTAGTCATATGTCAAGTGTATATTACTGATATTTTCCTAATAATAATTAAATATTTACTTGTTTCCAGGGCATGGTCTAGTATAGTGTATAAATTAATACCTAACGTCAAAGCTCTTGAATCATCATTAAAGCAATTCGCAGCAATCGTAGATGCTGATGAGGTGAGAAATAGTTATACTACATTGGTACTTATTAATTTTAAATGAAAGTGATTACAATAACGAAAAAAATATTGAGAACTGGACGACTTTGGTCCACTTGTATTGCGACTCATCAATTATTCTTCCTTATATATATTGATATATACATCATCATCATCATCATAATCATTAATATATACATATGTATTCTGCTTCTTCTTTATCCCAATTATTAAAGGCAGCGTAATATGTTTTTCTCTTCCATTCATCCCTGTTGGCAGTCATTTCATTGTTTATTCCCGTTCTTGCCCTATCATCTTTCACGCGGTCTATCCATTTCTTTTTCGGCTTTCCTCTGCACTTATAACCATCCACATTCATTTGTTAAATGTTTAAGTAAAATATGATGTGCTTAGTAATACGCCTTTTAATAGGGCCTTGTTTTTCTCTGACCAATTGATTTCAATACCATCTAGAATACAATAATAGAGTATGCACACATTATGGGCTGTTTCTATCAGTTTTTGTTAACGTACGTATTTTTAGTTTTTTTATTCTGTTAATAAATTATTTTAAAGTATTTATATTGTATGGAGGCCTATGTCCAGCAGTAGACTGCAGTGGGCTGATGATGATGATGATGTATATTACACAAATATTTAAACAAAAAATATTTGCTATTATTTATTTAGGATTTAAATACAGTGAGAGTGTGAAGCCCTTTTATAGTGGATATAGGGAGATGTATGTGTGTGTGTACTGGACCATGAGTTACGAATTCTGGCTATACAGGTGCTACTGTTTGAGCGGGCGACGTTCCTTGTAGTCTCCCACTGTCAGCGACGACCACACAGAGACGCACATCGATTCGAAAAGGTTTCTAACATCGTCAAACAGTTTAAGCTTTCTTGCTCCAAACTTGCGGCACAGTTCCAGAGCATGGAGGTATGTTTATTCATCCGGATATATTTTATATATCATATTAAAGTATACTATAACTATTCACTATCGATTTATTTATTTTCATTAAAAAGGACTATCTATAAAGTCTTAACCGTCAGGAAGTTTGCTTTGTAAGTTTCACGGCGAAAGTGTGAAGATATGGCAGTTAAATTACAGTATATGTTAGCATAACATTTAGTGCAAGCAAGGTAACAAACATATAACCGAGTATTTTATAATATTAGTTTCATATTATATAACGAAAAAAAATCTGTTCATTCCATAGACAAGGAAGATAAATTTTACACCTTAAAATTGGTTTATAACCTATTTTTCTAAATTTAAACACCGTTTATAGGTCCGTAACAGTGTGTTTGCGGCGTTCATAGATGGGTTTACAAGCAACACATACGTCATGGTTGAGATGTCAGACCCAAAGATTCCATCAGAGGCAACACTCATTAACATCAGAAACGCACGCAAACACTTCGAGAAACTGGAAAAAGTATCATCGTGTGCACCCAGCCACTATCAATGAATGAACATTCAATAATAGTACCTAAAAATAGCAAATTTTTTATAATACGGTAAGCACATAAGCGGTCTTTGCAAAGCAAGATAAATGCATGATGGATACTCGATTAGTTGGATTACTAATTGTTGTCGTAAGAAATAGAAATAATCTTTATTCAACTGAACTCAATGTAAGCACTTCTGAATAGACATATTATAGATATATATATATATTCTGTTTATATCACTCATAACAAGGAGAAAGAGAAAGAAATTCGCATGTTTTTCTTATGAATAAATGTTATTTTAAATAAAAAATACACAGTAACGTGTGAGACAGTAAGAATCGAATATTCGGACAGAATGGAAACGATTTTTCTACATATTATTAACTCAAGAAGGATAAAGTAGGTTCTCCGTACTAATGAACAAAAAATGTAATTAGAATTAAGAAACAAAATCAATATTTGTTAATATTATACATATATGTTTTCGTATTATGAATGTATCTAAATACATTCATAATACTATATACATATTTAATCGTGACCAACACTTCGGCTATCCAGATAATCGAGTCTCCACTGAATAGCATAGAATATAATATTGGTTCTGTTTCAATTGTTGTAATTTATATAAAGTTCCGATACTGACGCTGTCAATGATACTCAGGTTCTGGCATATAATTAGGAAATTGGCAAATTAAAAAAAATATACTATTTATTTGAAATGGTTGTTAATGTTACTTTATTTAATTATTATTTTGTATAATTATTAAATAAATATTTTAAATTTGTTAATAAAAATAAATAAGGATTGGTCAACAACTTAATGAGTCATTAGAAAGAAATTGTTCGATTTTATAATACATATTTCTTTCTAAGAAGTTGTAAAATTTATAATGGTTCGCTCCAAAGTCAAACCAAAAGCGTCTTCATACAACTACTTATATTTTAATTCTCTATTGTGATGATTAAAAATGGCTACAGACACTTTGTTAACCGTCAGGTTGCCGGAACTAAAGTACCGATGGTATCTGATTTATGCGTTTCATTGCTACTCCCCAAATATTATGAAGAATGACGGCATTTGGTTACTAACCAAATGAGCACATTCTTAATTGTATTCAGGCAACCTGACGGCCTGACGAAGTGTATTTGATCACCCTAAATCGTACAACATCGTACTTTTCGTTTATAAATGATTAAAGCGACCATTTCATCCTCTTAACAGACCGCAGTCGTAGTTCTTCCAATTGAAGTAAAGATGAACTCGTAGTGATTGTCTGGCATATATCGAATTTCCATTATTTTGTGTTGTGATATTAATATTATTAATTTCTTTTATATATTTTGCTGTAAATGCAAATTTCTCATATTTACCTATAACCTGTTATTTAAATAATATGGATTTAGTAATAAAATTATTTCTAAATTGGGACTCTAGACAGAATGAGATCATTGATATTCCTATTCTTGATTGCACATGATAATCATCCCGCTTGATCACAAAATTTTTAAACTCTCGACAAGTTTATATCGCTTCAAACACATTATTTCTAAGGTTAGGTTAGGTATAGGTTATCCCCGAATACTTAATGTACATGATTACGCACTAAATGTTCTATGCTTATCTGGAATCTGGGTGATCCATTTGTTGAACAAGACTTAGTATGAGATTAATTTATGAACTCATATTTATATGATTTTCGCTATTTTTACCTACCTAAATTATGTAAAGTCTGCGTGGACGTGAAATGCAAAAAGTTAAAGTTGAGTCCATTCCAATTATAAAAATAAATGAAGTATGATATGCATTTATTGACAAAAGTTTACATGTGTCTGTACCATAATATATCCATCACCAAAATGAAATTACGCGTGTTGCTTTCTGAAACTTGACTGTACTATACCCTGATAAATGTAGCCGAGATTGATATGTATATATCACATTTTATCCCTTTCAAAGTTCACAAAGTTCTATCAATCGATAAAATATTCGCAGCAAAATTAATATAGTATAGTGTAGATAAGATAACGTTATTTAGTACAATATGTCTCGAATACGGAGGGGCCAGATAACCACGTGACGCCCTTACATGTTGTTAAATCTATAATAATATAATAAATGATAACTTTTTATTGTGCATAGAGAAAAAATAGATACACTAGGGAAAACAGTATGTAATAAAATTAAAATAAAAAACGGTCTATCGCTATAAACAATTTCTAAACAGACAACATCGAGTATTTTACGATTTTCTGAATAAAACTGACGCATAACAACAACACGTTATTGAAAACAGCACCCAATTTGGTGAAACCGTTTGTTAATTCTGTTTTCATTTTACGGTTCAGTGTTTAAATGTACCTCGGCCTCAGTGGAGCTCACCGCTAAACTTCCGATGGTCGCGGGTTCGATTCCTTGCTATCATTTGTATTCATTTGCAATTCAATACATTAAAATTAATTTTCCTAAATAAATAATTCTACTGTTGCATATGTATTCAGCCAGACAATCACTATAAGTTTTATTGGGTATACTTAAATAATAATAATATAAAATAGCTTTTATGGGACACAATTAAACATGTTTATGTTGAACATATATTGATCCTGCCACTCAATATACAACAACAAACAACACATGATTTGCAAATTTTACAGCTGTGATTCTTTTATATAAATACATGTATAAATGATAGTCCTAGCCTATGCAATCATTACTAATGGTATATTTGACACGAATGTTACGGCTTATTAAAAAACGTGTCCAATTTACCACTGTAATGTTAAACATAATGTAAAATTGTAAACAAATTAGGTAAATACTTATAATATTACATATGTTTATTAGATAAGAACATTTTATATTTATTAGCTTGTCAATATTGTAATTATTATTGGGCTTGCATACGTCATTTTTGTAATTATTCGCTAAGAAATATGAATAACGAATTATCCTTACTAATATTATAAAAGTAACACTTGTCTCGTTTTCATGCCAAAACTACTGAACATATTTTAACTAATGCGAAAAAGGGTTGTAAGCGGTTGAAGGGGGAGATGAATGGTTATATGTAAGTCTCATCATTTTATGCGGACGAAGTAGTGGGCACAGTTAATAAATTATATATGGAGGAAACGTCATTCTGGTTAAATGTTACCATTTCATTGTTCATTATAACTACATATCACCAAACTATTGCGTAAGTTGTCTTTAAAATTAGTTTTATTCTCTATAAGTGTAAACTGGCCTTAATACTCTTGGTGTTAGCATTGTCTTGTATATAAACAAATGTAGTTATATTGTATACATATAAAACGGTACACAGCGTATGATAGAATGAGTTTAACAAGCTTCAATCACCAATAACACTTCAAAACTATCTACAAAGACCAGAGTACATTTTGAGTCTTTCGTTCAAAAAGATAGTTTGCAACCCTCAAAATTTATTTTCGTGTGAAATATGAATGTGACATAAAATTTTCGTAGTAATAAATACTATTACTGGATGTTAGACGAAAATAATTTCGTACATAAATTACACTAAGAACTAGAAGCCCGTCCACCTCCGGCTAAATTACGTTTATAAAAATAATATCTTGGCATACCAAAATTATGCGTGGACTTTTATAAATAAGTTGGCTATATGATTGTTACATGAGCCCACATGAAAGGTTTGGGAGTCCTTGACGCAGTCGCCGTAGCCAGACCTGTTAGGATAGTAGTAGTCTACTAAGTGTAAATATTTCTAATGTGGTCAATAATTATACATAGTAAGTCAAAGAATATACTGTACCTAGTCATCGAGGTCATGTCTTACCGCCTATATCTGTTCTAATACTAATAATTTTCTGTAAAAGGATATAAATTGAAATGTAGTAGTGTCTATACCAATTATATCCATGCCAGTATTGCCCTGTTTCCTGTAGGGTTCACCGGCTTCACTAATTATTAAAATCAAAATCTATTATAGTCAACCTAAAACATATCACACGGCTTTCTACCACCAATATTATTATTGGTCAGAGGTTGATAAACGACCGATATCGACCGATAGACGCCCGACCAAGGGCGTTTTATAAGGTTTCGGTTAACTTACAAGTTACTCTTTGTTTGACGATAATACCGAATTGCATTACTAAGGATAACTGAATAATGACTTGTCAGACATTTTTTAAATATAGATGAAACAACATGAGAAGCACCAGATTTCAAATAATAAAAAATAGGTAGGCACCAATCTCAAAGCTTCTTAAGTGACTGTATTTTGATATTTTTTAATAATAATTTGTGGTCTTATATAAATTTTGATCATGATTTGACCAATAGTTTTGAGTCGGTTTTTGTCTTCTGAACATGTTATTATTATAAAGTCGTTACAAGTATTTAATTTTTTATTAATTAAAACCATTATATTATTACGGACTAATTAATCCATAAATTCCAAAGCAGCAATATGTATATAGGCCTATTTAGTGTTACCACCGCTTAAGCCCAAGAAATATTACAATCCTTATTCATGAAAGTAGCATTATAAGTAAGTATATAAAAAATGCCGAATTGTCTTATTTTGTCTAGTAATTGATATTGAAGTTTAAAAATATATACAAGTTTATTTCAACTTCATGATCTATTGCAATTATGGTTACTCGATTCATGAGTCATGTTAGAAACTCTATATTAATTAAATTGAAAAATTTTAAATTTATTAAACATAGTCGAGTCCTTGCTAAAAATTGTACCCAATGTAGGTATTATAATTATAAATTAAATAATTTTAATAAATGCTATACGAGTAAATATTGCAAACTTATTCCAGTAGTCCCGTAAAAAATAACTGCGAAAATTTATTAGTTTGGATAGATGTTTGTTTCACTTTCATGCAAAAACTACTGAACGGATTTTTACGAAACTTTACTAGTAATATAGCTTATATATCAGAACAACATATAGGCTACAAATTATATCAATTCAGATGTTAATACAGTATAGTAAAGTGTATCAAAACCACAAAAGGCAAAATTGACTAGTACATTCCAATTTTTAGCAAGGACAACCTTTTTAGTTTCCTACTATAAGGATAGGTAGTATAGAAGTTGATTATTATTCTTAAATTTGTTCACTCTAAATTTACGTGGCTACACGAAATATGACATTTTATTACTCAATATAAATAAATATTTATGTTTCATATTTTATTTAGTTTCATTTAATATCCTTAAAAAGTCATTACGTATCATAAAAGTAGGTACTTTGCTGAATATATAATAAATTTGGTGTACATATACAGTGAACCGTGATAACAGCAAAAAATCTATTTAGTGACAACCCTAAATTCAACAACAGCCATGGTACAGTAATAGCAATAATAACGCAGGAAATAATAATAACACAGCGCCAAATATATCAATTGTATCCTGAGAGGAACTGAACCTGTAACCATTAGCTTAACGTAAGGCGGCGTACTAAACTGAGGTATAGCGGTATAGGATCACCCCTTTTAAAAAGAAATGTACGGGTTCTATCAAAATAAATACTCATAACGAACTTGTAGTAATCCTATATATACCTAATCATTAATATAACGACAAGATTTCATATGTACCTAGTTGTATTTGCGATATCGTATTGATTATATCTCTTATCTTTAAGTAGCTCGATAATAGATATAATGTACTATATGAAATGTCATTCAAATCGTCTACAGTCCTGTATGATTTACTAATAAATTAGATATATGTATAGAAGTTACGTATTAATATTGCCATTTATTACAGATACTGAATAAACGTAGGTACTACAATATTATTACAAACTATAGTAATGTTACAATATCCATTCAGATACCTAAATAAAGATATTTTTAAAACAAATATCTATGAATGTACTTATATTGGTTTATTAATTGGTTGTTGCTTAATTACGCAAAATACTATATATGTAATACATGCAATCTATGATATATACCTCCGTATACCTAAATGATGTAGGTATATTCATAATATTAGAATTGGTAAGTATGGGAAGTATTGACAACTCATATTATTGATAAACTAATCTAGTGTACTGCCGTCTGACGATATTAATCAATCTTCTTCAGAGCCGTCCACGTAAAACTACAGTGCAGTGTAAAACTAGTTGCATATTAACAAATGTGAAGTGAAAACTTAATTTATGTACTTCTTTAAACAGTTATCTTTAAATTGTGCGTTCTGCGTTTAAGCAGGTAGGTATATAATAATAATAAATATTACATACATAGTGATGATATTATTTACAGATAATTCTTTCAACGTATCCTGAACCGAATTAGGTACATATTTACTTAATTGATATTGTTTACCCACTTGATTACAGTAGAGTACAAGATACATAAGTAGTTAAATATTTTTATTTCTAATACCGACCAGAAAGTCAAATCATATTACTGAAAGCCAGCAGTAACTCACAGTTTCTCCTACTTCTGCTGATCAACTTATATTTGAATCAATTCGACATATGTGTACAAAATCCGTTCAAATGAGTTAATCTGTTTATGTATTACTAGAAGTATATTTTTTTAAGGTAATTGGTATGGCTAACAAGCTGACGGACCTGAAAATGACTAATATATTTGTTTTAAATGGCAACACGTTATCATATGATGCCCAAGATATCTACATGCTACCATTCCTAACTAAAGACTTCCTTTGACTAAGATGTTAATAATCTACAATTTCACTGTAATCAAGCTGCTTGACTGTTGAACGTGAGAGAGTTAGGTACCTGTCCCGTACCTAGATGATTTTTTACAATGAAGTAGAATCTTCGCAAAATTATTATCTATAGGTAGGTAGGTAGGTATTATTGAATAACAAGGACTAAAACTCGCATTTCTAATATTACGAGGATTACGAGTACATGTTATAGGCCCTATTTTGTCATTACAGTTTTACAAAAATGGCCGAAGAAAAACCAACATTCGATTATCACGAGGAAACTCATGGCGAAAAGTTAACGCGTAAATCAAAAGAATCTCCGTTCATGATTATTGGTATGTAATTTGTGTACGATTTTTAAATATTCAAGCACCTGCTTATACCTATCTTTAGTAGTATTTACTCGACTTATAATTTCGTCTCTGAAAGTACAAGACTAACAATTTATGAAGTCAAGAATTATAAGTCTGAACATATTAAAATATTTTTTTAATCAGTACAATTTACACAGCGCCATTTAGACCCAAGTTAAGCTAGTTAAAAATTGACTTATGGGTACCTACTAGATAACTGATACAAATACATACCTAAACATATTTTTTTTATGTTAACACTTAGATACATATTATACATAGAAAACGCCTGGCTCGATACAAACAATCATACTCATGAATACAAATGTTTGTACCGTGCGAGGAATCGCACCCGCGACCATCGGCTGTGTAAGGCGTGTAAGGCGGCGTGCTAAACCACCAGACCACCGAGGCCGTTAAGACTGTGCACTAACGCCCTCAGTGGTGTAGCGGTTAAGTAAAACGCCTTATTTTGCATGAATATGCAAAATAAGGCGATCTATACATTTGAATCATCTCTATCTCATACCTGTACTCACAGCAGTTGTTCCTTCTAAACATTAAAAACCTGAAATGATTTTAGGACTATCCAGTCTAGTGGCAGCTGTAGGATATGGCGCATATAAATTCAAGCACCGAGGCGCTATGAGTACTAGCGTCTTCCTCATGCAGTTCCGTGTTATATCGCAAGGTGCCGTAGTCGGGGCCCTCACCGCTGGCATGGCGTACACTCTCTATAATAACCACTTCAATAAACCTAAATCTAACGAACATTGAATGTGGATCTTTTCAATACAATTTTCATGTTTCTATTACCCAATAAATAAATAAAATTAAAGCATAAACAAAATCTATGTTCTGTGACGAAAGAAGTTATATTATGTACTTAGGTACTAGCTATACCAATCTCTTTCGATGTAAAAATAGGTATTTTAATTCTTTTAGTGTTATATATTTATTTCATAAGTCACTATAATAGTAAGCTGTGACTGATTTGTATGTATATTTTGTGTTGTGATTATAACTACTTCAAGAATTTTATTTATATTTACAAAGAAATCTAAAACACTAACTACCTAATTTGTAAAATAATAGCAAGGTAAATTTGTCTAAATTTACCTTGCTATTATATTGTAGAGTTTATTTATTTATTACCTATCACTCTTGGCGACACGGAACTAAGCCTAATCTATTTTTTTATGGATTAGAATTAGAAACTCATTGGATGACGACAAAGGAGGATTCCTACGCTAAAGATTTATGCTGTCGGGGCTCCAGTGGAGGATCACACGATAACCATGAATGAGGTCAGGTCAGTTAGCACATCGTGATAAATTCACAACGAATTTATCGTGATGGTTTTCAATGGGAACCGCGTGGAGGTTAACTAACAGGGTACATTATTATCTATGGGGTCATCACTCATGTAACCATTGTGAATTGAGGATTAAAGGAATAAAATTTCAAGACCAAAAATACTATCATAATCTGCGTGTAAAAATAAATCTAGCTGAGTAATTTTAAATATTTTATTATTACAGTTAGTCATTAGTGATATTAATACATGAAATAAATATATATCTACAAAAACCCACTGTATTGTTAGCAAAACAATTGTTACAACGTTCCGAAGAGCATTAAAGCATTTACACATTTCTCTAAATGGATTTTAATCATTACAACAGCAACATACTCACTACCACATTTAAATATTTTCTCAAACACATACATAGAATTTAATTACTATTATCACATTTCTTTATATTCCTTACTCTTACTAATGCCAAATACTGCTATATTTATCAATCATAGATACAAGTGAGTTTATTTTTGAAACGATAAATGGATTGGCATGATGTCTGCATATTCATTTGTGAGAATTAGGTGCTTTGAGTAGTCTATTTCTAAATAATTCCCTAATTCTTGTTATAATAAGTACAAATTTCATCTTCTTCAACTTTCAAGTTTCATTTTTGCGGACAAAGTAGCCTATATTCTTCTCCAAAATCCATTCTTCATCTTAACCAAAATTCTTTAAAACCGATTCAGTAGTATAGGTGTTAAAAGGTAACATATCAATAGTTACTTTCGTATTTATAATGTTAGTTATAAACACAAGTACACATAAAATAAAAAATCTCATTAACATACTATAAAGAGACAGTACAAACTCTATAATGACACAATACAGTTTTAACTACTGAGAATAGGTAAAAGCTAATGAACTATTTACACCAGACAATAAACATGAACAATATGACCATTATAGGGTATACTCTGCCGCATACGGTATTTTCAAGTGTTGGCAGTTCAAATAGGTTTGTTATCATATCTGCAGACACTTAAATGCAGAAGCCCAATATATTCAGATCCCTAGCATGTTAAGCTTAATAACTCCAGAGTGATTACAGTTTCCAAATGTAATTCAGTTGATATGAGATCTATTGAACATAAACAAATGTAGACTACATTTGTTTATGTTCAATAGATCTCATTTTACTTGACATACATATTTATTACACAATATTTGTATGTCATTTTCGTCTAAATAACAATGCATAAAATATCTATTATCTACTCTGTGTAGATAAAAGATAGGTTTTTGTGTAGATAGATTAAAAAGGCCTTTCTTAAATTTTATTACAGCTCAATGTTTTTGGTGTGCACTATTCCAAACTAATTTTGATGCCAGGACTATCTATGAAAATGCTAAATTCATTAAACAAATTAAGTATTTACATATACACATTCAATTAATGAATTATAAAATCATAGTTAAATATTTCACCCTGCTATATTGTACTATATGTACAATACAATTAGTGATTGATTGGAAATCTACGTATAGGAAGAAGTGAACCAAACAACACATGCTGAATTACAGGGAATTTTGCTAAAACCTCCTTTTTATACATTTTAATGAGACCTTGGTTTATTTTAGTCCAGGAGCCTACTGCACTTATGCTCCATAATTGATTAGAGTGCTCTGCAAATGGACCTTTTTTCACTTCCTTTATATATTTAATACAAGAAATGAACATATACTCTTCAGAATATTTATCTACAATATCATCTTCCAAGAATTTTCCCGGAGGATATATTTTTGGCTGATCAATCAGTTGCGAGCTACCCCAAATAAACGGTATAAATTGATAGTCATCCAAGCTCCAAACTCCATGACTCCCCGCTGGCTCCATTCTATATGTTTTCTGTAGTTTTCTTGAAATATTTATATATTTATTGAATATTAAAAATACTGTGGCTACATTGTCTTCAACATCCAAACAACCTATTTTATACAGGCAACACAGAAACATAACAAAAGACATCTCATGACCAGTTCCATAATCAATTCGGGTGGCATTCCCAAAGCTTTCTTCCAAATATATTTTAATTTCAGGTATTGCCAGATGCAATTTTTGATCTAATGCTTCTTGTAGTAAGTGCGTAGTAGTTGATTTTATTTTTGCCAGCCAATCTCTGAAGGCAGTGTTACCAAATCTCTGAGGCTGTTCAACTGGTGGAAACTCATCTATTATTTTATCAATTTTATCAAGTAAATTAATAATTTTTGTTACATTTTGTGATATCTTACAATCAACTGATAAAGGTTTCCCTCTTATTGCCTCATTGAGTGTGGCAATAAATCCAGTGTATTCCATGTAAGCTTCAGATTTCTCCCATACAGCCATATCCGCTATAGTCTTCACAGCTTTCTCAGGTGCAACAAATTTATGATTAACAGGAAGTATAGGAACACTTCCACTATCTATTGTCTTGCCATCTCCAATTGCACTCTCTGCATTCATCTGCAATAGAAATCATTATTATTTATATATATTCTTGACAAAATATAATAATAATAATAATAATCTCAAAAATGAGTATTTATTTATTTACTTAAAATTAAGTTGACAAGAATTTAGCATAACATATAGCTAAAATACACAGTTAACTAGACTTTTAAGTTGATTGAAAAAAAAATCTAGTAAGAATATTAAAATATTAATTTGAAAATAAAATAAATTATTTCAATGTATTCCATATAAATTGCAAATATTTACTGAATTCTTTTAATACAACATTATTAGCCTTTACAGATAAAACTACTACATTGTCCAGAACAAAGTAAAATATACAAAATAGCTTTATAATAATTTCATCATTTATATATTTATTTACATATTTTATTAATATGTAGATGTTTATAAGAAATGTAATTACTATGTTCATGTATAATAATTAATATTAAAGGTTAATGATTACCACCTATTTATATATAGTATGGATAATTGGGTACAACATTGAATATTATTAATCCTTAGTAGTATCATTGTGAACGTTGACCCTACTACCTCGCTACCTCACAAAATATTGTTCGTTTCACTGCCCGCGATAAGCTAGCAAATGAAGGTCATAACTGTCAACCTCAGGGCTCGGCAGTTCATTTAAACACGAACGTCAATCTAAACAAAAGTGCCTTCATTTGTGATATGAAAAGTACCCAAATAGTCTAAATATGGAGAGAATATTGAGAGGAATTATGAGATATCGTGTTTTAGATCGCGCAAGTATGGTAAAACAATTTCAAGAAGTTAAAGATAACCCTATTGTGAGTAACTATTTGTAAATTAACTAACTTTTTATCTTACAATACTGCTCGTATATGTTAATTAGTTAATATAGTTTCTTCACACAATTAATATTAACTATTCTTGATTTTTTCGATGTTAAATTAAAATAAATAAAAATTATAATTCTACGGGAAACGAAAATAATATTTTGACAACTTTGACATTGACGTTTTTCTTAACTTGACGGATCTAGTCAGTGGGCACTTTACTGTATATTCATATACTCATTGACATGTACTCATTTAGTAAGTAGAACAATGTCTTGTTCGAAGAGGGCGACCATAATATTGAGTACAAAACAGGACACTGTTTAAATAACACTACCACTATTTATGATTAATTGAAGAGATGTCGCTTTTTTTTTATTACGAAACATGTAATAGTAATACATAATTTCCTCAAATGTAAACAAAAATGTTTTTTTTGTGAATTTTCTTTCATAAAAAAACATTTTTGTTTACATTTTGTTACTATTTAGAGTTTCTTCTTACTTAATAATATTATAAACTCGAAATTTGTAAGTTTGTTTATTACTTTTTCACGCAAAATCTTGCAAACGAATTTTAATGAAACTTTTCAGTAACTTAATATAGCTATTTCAAATTTTCTGTGTACTTCTCCGTTTTTATTGTTTAGTCCTTATTAATACAATAGTTACTAGTTTTTTTAATGACAAACAGTGATATATTAATGTGATAGTGAGTGCTTCAATGATCTAAAATCTTGTATAACATGACTATATATTATATGGCCCTAGGCCCATATAATATATAGTCATGTTATAATTAAGCTAGCTTAATTATATTCTGCAATCCAGTCTCAAACTGAAGTTACATATTATGAAAAATCATAGTGCGTAAGAAATTTAAAGGTCTGTTTAACAGGAACTAGAGGGATTTGTATAATATGTCCTGTTTTATTTTTACTATAAATATACTGTGTTAACTCCTAACTTCTCACAAACCTCATATTTATTGTGTATTAATAATAAATCCAATTATTGGATGACTCATCTTACTGATATTTCTTCTTCTAAATAAATTAGCCAAAAGCCGTCTTCTACACCTGCATGGACAGTCGAATGATTCCAACCAGATTCACAGAAACTAGTGTCGGAGATATGTTTGTTGGTTTGTATTAACTGTTAAGGAATTTTTATTTTGTGAATACTATACCTTATAAACGTAATTTTTTTTGTTTTGCAGTACGAAATGCTGGGAACGTTATACCGCATTCTCAATACTTTGTAGATGAAATGACTAGCTGTGAACCAGCAGCTCTAGAACTCGGTTGTATTATTAACGATATTAGACACATTATTGTGTGTGGACATAGTGACTGCAAAGCTATGAACCTTTTGTACAAGTTAAAATCCAAAGAAGAGTCTACTGTTGTTAGTAACTTATTAAATATTTAATTGTTGTAACGTTTTACTTACATACTTCTGTAAATTCACAGCTATATACAATAATATGAAAATAGGTATAGTTCTGAACTAAATATATTGTGTCTACAGGAACAAAGACGAATATCACCACTAAAATCTTGGCTGTGTACACATAGTACATCAAGTTTGAATAAATTTTTAGACATGAAAAATGATTTTACTAAACCTGTACTTTTTACTGCTGAAACTCCACAACGAAAATTTGCAGCATACATTGACCCAGACAATAAGTTTTGCATAGAAGATAAATTATCACAGGTACGAATGTTTACTTACACTATTAACATATTTTGTTACATAATCTTAATTAAATATGTATTTACAAAAAAGAGAGAAATTATTTCTTTGATAAATTCTATTTACCTATATGAGACGACATGTTTGTTAAAATAATGAGCAATGATCAGGAAACGCTTTATATGACTGACTTGAAAGCATAATATATATGTATAATTATTAATATTATCGATGTTTCAGGTTAACACTCTCCAGCAATTGCAAAATGTTGCATCATATGGAATGTTAAAAAAAAGATTAGAAAAACATGATTTACATATCCATGCTCTCTGGTTTGATATTTATACGGGAGATATATATTACTTCAGTAGACGCGCTAAAAGATTCATAGTAATAGATGAATCGACATACGAAACTATATTGGCAGAAGTGAGAAGATATTATTCATAATTCTTACTCTAAAAGATATATTTCAAACGCCTATGTTTATACATATTTCGATATATAGATATAAGTAACAAGCTTTACCGAATTTATAAATAGTAAATCATGTTACTACCTATATCAATTAAGTTTAATGTTATTTTTTTACTTTTATATAAGGTAACAATATACAGTGTAAATATATTTAAAAATTTTATTTATGAGTTAGTATATGAAAACTAAATCATTTTTTCTTTTACTACTTAAAATACCTTTCGGAAATTTAAATCTAGAAACTTTATCCATATTAATATTGGTATTACAAGTAATAAAATAAACTGTAATATTGTCTATGGTTTAACGATACAATATATTTTTATCGAATTTAATTGAATTTGAGTTTCGTTGTTTCAAAAAAGCTGCAACTAGTAATGAGATATGTTTCATATAATAAATAAAAATGAATTTAATCATCAATAGTAAAATATAACTTGCTGAAAATTAAATAAGAATTATGGACACCTTACTCTATATATGTCCATAGTAAAACATCTTGTCCCGTATAACTATAACCAATTAAGGAAAATACCTCTTTCGGGTGATAGTGAAACGTTACAAAACCTCGGCAGTTGGAATTAAGATACAGTAAATAAAATTGAAGCCATATAGTGTAGTGAACACTTGCTCAATTGAAGAAATACGTTGACGTAAATGAGTTGCTAATTTTTGTACAATGCGTAATTTTTGTACCTTTTTTAGGTTACGTTGTCATTACATCAATCAATATATCAAACTTTTGTAATTGATAACTGACTTAATTTTCTGTCCACGAGACAGCTTAGACTTCCAAACATAGAGTATATGACGTCAATTAATATTGATCTAGCATTGCAAAAGCACCTTTATTGCCTTGACCTTAACGATGAATTTACATGTGCGTATCAAATTTGTATTCAGAAAGTATCTGAAGAAGCCTGATCTGTGATTTAGAACTGATGTAATTTCATGTAATTCAATGTCGTGGAAAATTTAAAATTATATAATATAAAACTTAGTGTATTTGTTATACTCTAATTGTTGTAATAATTTCCGTTTAAACTTTGAATGTTAAGGTAAATATAGTGTTTATTTTATAATAAAAATATACTTAACATTAATTAATGTTACTTAAGAATTTATATCATAATATTTGCTTTATCATATTTATATTATAAAAATATTGGTAAGTTTTGTATTAACCATAAAAATTATTAATCTTTTATTTGTAGATAGATACTCTCTGATAGACAAGGATGTCAAATTCCCAAAGAGTTTTCGATTATAATGATGAGTCTCAGGCGGATAAATTGGCAAGGAAATCCAAGGACTCCCCGTTTATGATAATAGGTAACGACAATAATACTATAATAAGAATGTGGATATTGCGTTTTTGTAAAAGGACAATTTCGAAATACATTTTTTAATAAAACCTAACCACAAAACCATATTTTTTACTTCTGTGGTATCTCTGGTACAATGTAAATGCCTCCTCCTTGTCAGTGCAACAAACTACAAACAGTCCTACAGTTTATTGCACTGAGGGAAATCTTTAGTACCTCTTAATTTCTGATTACTAATTACACTACTTACACAGTAGTGAAAATAGTAATTTTGGTTGGATTGAAAGACTAACTGCATAATATCTTAATTATGTATGTGTATAATTTTAATACTAAGTCACACAGGTGACCTTATGTTAATAATGTATTTTTGAATGCTTCATTCAGAAATACATTATTTAAATAATATTTTATTTTATTTTTATTTAATAAATTATCAGATTTTCCAAATCACAGACTGATGACTTCTTTTTTTACAATTTAGTACAACTGATGAACTGATTAATTATTCTATACCCTTTATTAAACAATACTATCATGTCATTTTAACAAAAATAATCTAATTTTCAGGTATATTGGGATTAATAGGTGTTTGCGGCTATGGTGTTTACCAATATAAGCATAAAGGAAAAATGAGTACCAGTGTTTTCTTAATGCAACTCCGGGTCGCAGCACAGGGCACTGTTGTAGCAGCTCTAACTGTCGGTCTAGCCTACAATTTAGCAAAAGAACATATATTCAAAGATAAAAAAGAATAGACAAAATTTCTTAAGGAAACTAATACAATAAACAGCTGTATGTAACATTTAAACTGAATCTATAAATTAAATCTCAATGGTAATCTCTTGCATGAATCAGTATCAGGCTTGAATGTGTCAACAAATGTATAATAATGCCTCATTTTCTCTGTAAGATTCTAATGTCTCCTGCTAATAGATTTCTGCAAAGCAATTCCATATCAATCACCAACATTCATATATCAAATGTATGTTATGTATATGGTATGTAAATGTAAAATACACTAAAAAAAAATATAAATAATAATAAGACAATGATTGAAAGAATTATTTACCAAAAATATATTTCATAATTATTTGCTTTCTATATTTATGACTTTTATGGTTATTTTAAAATATTTCATTAACCTCAAATTATGATTTTTTGCACTGGTTTCTAAAAATGTAGAGGCATTATTGTATTGTTTCCCTAATTTATATGTTAATATAGTTTAGGAACTAATTTATGTTCTGTGATTTAGCTTGTATTACATGTGTAACATGTATGTGATCATGTGTTATTTATTTCATTGTTAGATCTAAGTAATAATCTCATGTAAACAAAATTCACACAAATTATAGTTAATTATATTTTTTTAATAAACTATTAATGACATATGCTAATAAGGTCAGATGCAACCTACAAAAATGATTATTTTGCCATAATTTTCTATGTATACATATAAGTAAACAAAATTAATTGATTTTATCAGAATATAACCTAGATATTCATTATTTTTGTGCCTAAATATACTTTGTTTTATATAATTCTTATAAATATAGTGTTCTATATTTAATAATATGTAGATGTATTAGAAGCCTGGGAAATTTATGGAAAAAATAGCAACAGCTTTTATTTTATTGATCTGTAAGTAAAACTAGAAAACTATTTAAAGAAATGTTTTACAATGTGATATTCATGTTCTGTTTCAAATTAGAAATAAAAATCAATGAAATAATAAATGTTTTAAAGTTCCAGTCTACAACTTTTATGTATTAGTGTCCTTTCGCTTTTTAGAATGATTTTGCATAATAATTTAACCATAGTGGTAGTACATTACCAGATATTGGATCATACCATTACTTTGTAGTCAGAATAATTATTATTTATCACTACACTACTTACTACTAAGCAGTTTTTACTGTTTAATATTTGTAATATTAACCAGTAAAATCTGGGTTAAGCCGTTTCACTAATGTATTATATAAACTACATTTGAAATCCAGTAATGGTTTTATTTTTATTACAATTGGTTTACGACCAATTAAGTTAGGCCGCAAGCTCGCTCGCTCGCTAAAATAGAGCGATGACCTCGGTGATGCGGTCGGCAGAGCACCACCCATAGGATTATTTGCTTAATTGTGTATGTTCATAAATTATTATATTAATTGCGCTTTTTTAATCTTCTCTAGAAAACATGATTCAAGAGCATGAAATTTGAACTTTAATGAAGAAATAAAATGTACAAAAATCTAAGGCACATTGATTTATTTGTCATAAATACAAAGTCAAAAGCTTTAACAATATAAATCGTTAATTATTATTTCTCGTAATAATTTGTTCTTTCTCAATATACATCTAAATAAATTAACATAAATATTTAAGTATAATTCTAATTTCAATCAATAAATAATCATTCACTTTTGCTAGCATCAGATTTTTTTGTCCTAAGGCTACAATTGGGAATGGTCAAGTCATCTTTTTCAGATGTGGAATGATTTCGTATTGAGTTAGAAGTTACTTTAACGGACGACAAATCATCAACGTTACTAAATAAGCCATTAGATAAATTAGAACTGGAGCTCGAGTGATATGTCATCGATTTAAAAATTTGTACGGGAGTCGAAGTGCGAGCTCTATTCCCGTTTGTTGCACTGTCTACTGAAAGTTCTTCCTGGCCCACACATGGCGATTGTTTCAACTCTTCTGGCATTTTTGTCTCAAACAGAGAAACAAACTCTTCTGTGTCGTTTCTATTAGATCTATTTGTGAAAGTAATTTTGTTAGCCAGTTCATTCGTTAAAAATTCTTTTACTGTCATTGATTTTGTTAATGAAGTTTGTTGTCCAGCATTTTTAGCCTTCTCTTTAACATATTGAACTTGTAATGGCTTCTTTGATACATCTAAGATTGAGGAAACGGAATCCGTTACTAATGCTGGAGTATCATGTTGGTTCAAACTTCTCAATTTAAATTGAGATAAACTGGAACTAGACGTGTTAGAAGACGAAGAGAGAGCTAAGCGCTCTTTCGTTTTTTTTAAAGTCGAAGAAGCCCAACCCATACCCAGCTTTTTAAATGCATTCTCCAAATCAGGATTCGACGAAAAACTCAATGTATCCGAAGTCTCAGCTATGTTTTCTTTATTTTGAATTACTACCTTTGTTCTCTTTTTCTCCTTCCGCATTTTAGACAACGCAAAAACTGATAATGTAGATTCTGATGAAACAGTTGTGGAATTTGCATTTGAATCGTATTTAAATGGCTCAGAAATAATGTTTCTTTTTAATAGTTCTGCAATCACATCTGGCAAACTACCATCTGATTGCATCGAGCTCAATTCGTCATTTAAAGCTTCATCTTTTGGAACATCGTCAAGATTAGATGCCTCATCGAATGATCCTACATTACATTGTTTAGCGTACTCATGTATACTGATAAATGGTTTCAACATTATGTCGTTGAATTTCTTCAGATCTATGATTTGATTTTTATAGTCCTCTGATGTCTCAGTAGATGATAATTTAAGTGTTCGTTTGGACATTTTATCATCTATTTGAACAACATCTGGATTACGGATTTTGTCAATGTTATATGTACATTTATTATCCTTAACCACATCCTTCGTTCTTTCTTTATTATAATTATGTTCTGAAACATTAATGGCATCACACTTTGTATCATTACGTGATAAATTCTTGAACTTGACACTCATTGGTGAGTCCACTTCTACAACTGTTGAAAGTTCATGTGGGGTCACATATTCTTCCGTATGTTTTAAATTAATACGATTTAGAGCAGGAGGTGGACGGGTTCTATTTTTTATTATTTGTTCTTGAACAATTGGCAACTCTAAATTGTTCTCAGGTGGCGTGATGTGACGTTTTGATTCTGCAGGTTTCGGTATATCTAATAAAAAAGGAACAAAATCGGCAGAATTAAATTCAGCATCTGTCTTATCTGTGTTTAAAGAGATGGGTGGGGGAGATTTGTTTTCCAATTTATTTTGGATTTCAATAACTGGCTCATAACTTTGTATTTGAATTTGCTCACTATCGATATTAGTGTTTATCTTATTTGCTTTTTGGTCTGAATCTGATGCAGAGTCTGAAGATGATATTTGACTATATGCTGTTGATTTATTCTTCCTAACTTCATCCAATACTTTCGCTAGATTTGACAAACGTTGTGTACATTTTTCTGTCAGATCAGCAATTTTTTCCATATTTTCCAGTTTATTTTGAGCTAATTTAATATAATGTATTTCTGAATCAATGTCTTGATTTGTCTGAGTAGAAGTGTTCATAGGAGGTTGAGTCATACATGATGAGCCGCTCATTTCTGAATTTGCTGAATTTGTTCTGTGTGATGCATGTTTAAACTGATTTATTTTTGCTTTGGTTGCACCAATTATATTATTCTCATATAGATTTCCTTTGTCTCGTACTTTAGGTAAATTATTAGAACTTTCATCAGTTCTTTCCGAATTACAATTTATCTGTTCTGCCTCATTTGTTAGTAATTGCTTAGATAATTTACTGTGACTGTTGATATGTGTTTTCATTAAAACTCTAGACATTTCTTTTGTTTCTGTAGGCCACTGTCGTAAAACTGGTTTATTTAATTTATCAAGAGAACTGGGTTGATTTGATTTATTTTTTAAAACATTTCGCGAAATATTTAATGATTTTACTTTGTGCACTAATCTTTTCTTAACAAGGTGAGGACAAGACTTCTTTTTAAATTTCATGTTGTGGTTTGTTGTATTCAACAAAACCTTATTATTAGGCTCGATTTGGGAATTTATAGCATTACCATTCAATATTTGTTGTATTAGCGTACTTTTTATTTGTTCTAGTGATATTTTATTTTCTATTAATGGTTTATGTCCAACTATGTTATTGGGCATGTCAATAATAGAGCTTCCTGGCGTTGTAACTGCACTGCATTCTTGATTTACTACTTCAATTGCTTTCATACCTTGTTTATTGAGAGTTAATAGTTTATTGACATAACTTTTGATGATAGGGTTCAGGCTTGATCTGGTGTCTTTATTTAAACTATTCTTTGATATTACATTTTTATATGACGATGCACCAGAACTAATGTGCATAATCAGATTTTGAGATGGCTTTTTGTGGGCAGTGTGTTGTTTGAACTTTTTATGACTTCCAGATTTACTACAAGTTTTTGCTTCAGTTCGACTTTCACACTTGTGACATTTACGATTTTTGTTATATGTATGTTTATCGTTATTTATGTCTTCTTTATTTTCGGTAGCAGTATAGCTTCGAAAAGTAATTGGTGAAGTGTTTAATTTATTTCGGGAGCATTTTCTTTTACCCTTACAATGAAAATGATCCCCAACTTGCATTTGTTTTCTAGAATGAGCACAGTGTTTACATGGATAACCCTCATGTTTTGTACATCCAGTGTCAGGGAACTGTGAGTCATAGATATCATCTCTGTGGTGCCTAAAATATTGGGGTAACACATTTTCTGGAGGGCTCATATAAGCTGTAGAAGTAGAAGAACTCATATGGAAGAATACCGGTCTTGAATTTGGAGAGCTAAATGTAGTTTGTGTACAAGCTGAAGTTGCAGGTTTCGGGACAGTTCCTAATTTGGAAACCTGATTAGGTACAGTACTAGACTTCTGACAAGAAGTATGAACTCCTAGTGATGGGTCACTTGATCCTTCACTAGAAGTGATATCTTTCTCACTGTTCCCCTCAATTCCAATTCGTGTCTCAATCTTGTCTTCTTTAGTTTTAGATACATTGTCTAGTATAGTATTATTTTCTACACAGGGTGGTATTGTACTAGTTAAATTTTCCAGACAATTGACATTTGTTGACTGTTGATTATCATGTATCATTTCACTTGAAGTAATTGGAAATTCTTCATTAATTTGTTGAGTTTGTTGTTCAAAGGGTAAGGTTTTCTCATCTGATACTTTTTCATCTGATTTAATGTTGTCATCTTTCATTGATTCTTTTTTTCTAAGTTGTATGATCACTTCATAAGCATCGTTTTTAAGGAAACCTGTAGCACCGATATATAATTTCCCAGCATCTTGACCACAGTCATCAATTAATTTCATGAATTCACTATCAGGTAGAACAGTGTTTGCTTTGTCATTGACAGCAGTTTTGAATGAAGTAGTTGAGTTCGCTGTTGATGGCTGTATAGGTTGGTTATCAGTAGGTTTTGTACTCCTAGGGCATCCACATTTATAGTCTGCACATATATTTGGAGATCTGAAAGAGAATCAATACAAAACATAGGTAAAGTTCTTTGATATCTATATAGTTTATTCAAATATGTTTTTGAATGCAAGTATGGCACCGCGTCACATTCCGCATTGGAACCACATTATAATGTAAACAAGCTTTGTATTGAAACAAGCAAAGAGTACCTGCACCTACTGGTTTGCTTACTTCAGCTGTCGCCAGTCTGCTTAGTGAAATGTGTTTGGGATAGTAGGATGCAATATGGCAATGAAATAACAAAGTATGTATATATGCACCTTAGTTCTCAAAATGAAAAAAATATCAATGCATGAGGGGTATGATAGACGTCACGTGACGTGATGACAATGGTACTATTCATGTATTTATAAAGACGACAGTTACCACTTACAATAGTGGCCATCAACTTTTTTGCTATTTCAGTTGTGTAGTTACATATAGATACTTACATGGAAGATTGTTGTACTTTGTTACCAACTTCTTTATGAACATCAGTATCTGTGGAAATAACAAATATAAAATAATTAGTATGATGTGATTAATTTACATATATTATTCTCAAACAACTGTTTCTGTTTATTTTTTATAGAGTAGATAAATGCAATAAAAGGATATATTACTTTGCGATCATTATACAACAATATATGTAGATACATAGAAAACACTTAGACCGACACAAACAATATGTACTCTTCAACACAAAATGTTTGTACCATGCGAAGAATAGAACCCACGACCATTATAAGTAAAGCGGCGTATGAAACCGCAAGACCACCGAAGCAAATGAAAAAACATGAAATACAATTTTAACAATACATATTTGAAGTAATATTAACATAAATCACCTTGATGTTGCTTCTGATCGTTAGCTAGTTGCTTGCCACAAGCACATAATTGATTATTCCTGGTGTTGTCTTCTCTCTGAATTGTTCCCTGAGAATTGTCCGTAAAATATAATGATGTAATGTTGTCCCTGAAAAAGAAATACAGTATAAATATAATAAATAACTTACATGAATCTATAAGAATAATAATGTATAATTACAAAATATACTAAAAGCTATACATAATATTACTTTATTTAAAGAAATTTATGCATAATTTCTATATATTACAGGTCAATATTAAATAAAGATATAAACATTAGGCTATATTATGGCAGAATTAATGCAATTTATCATATAAAAAAAATGTTAAAGTACTACACAAAAGCTAACTTCAGAATAGATAATTGTGTTAATTTAATAACATGTTGCCTATTCCAGTTATTTAATATAACTATTTAATCTACTAAATATTTTTAATACAAATCCATTATATTTTTACCACCATGGCTGCCTCTCAGCTGTTGTTTGCCACATCTCTATATTAGTAGTATAACAACTGGTTACATTGTAAGATATCCTGAGGATGGTAGGATTCAGGATTAAGAACATGCAGGTTAAGGCAATAATGAATAATGATTTGAATGTCAGGTAAAAAACAGAACAGTTAATAGTAATTAGAAATTCACTCACCCTGTTTCCTTTGTTGTTTTGTACACACCTGGAAATATTTAAAAAACCATAAAATTATTTTCATAAGAACTTATATGTTAAAACTCACCTATAGATAGAAAGAGAAGGCTATAATAAAGTACACTAAAATACCAATAATGCTTTCGCAACAGGTCTAATTAACAAACTATCACAAAAAAACTGTCAAAGAAATATATGTCATGATCATGAAAGTACATCTTTAAACATAATATCAGAATATCAAAATGAAAACTGTGCTTGATATATCAAAAATATATACCTTCTTGCAAATGTTCTAATGAAGATTTCTTTTCTATTTGTTTATTTGTTACTGTATTTTTTTCATTATTATCTTTAGTTTTATCATCATCAGCCTTACTGTTCACATCTATGTTTAGAGCACTCAAAGATTTGGCTATGTCTGATATCAATTTTGCTTTTTTCTTAGCCTTATGCTTCTTTTTGGAATTCAAAACCTTGTATATAATAATTCTGTCAGTATCTGTTAAAGTCTGATTCCTATCAGCTTTAGTTTTTGAATCTGTTGTATTAAGCCTCAAGTTCTCTACCGAGCTAGTATCAGATGCTATTGAAGAGCTGTCTGTTGATTCACTGCTATTCTCAATAATTACAGTTTCAAGAACCTTTTTTTGTTTATCTTGCTGAACTGTGTCTTTAGTGGGGGGAGTATGTTTATGTCGCGATCTATACTCATGGTAGCTGTCGACTTTACTAAATTTTACAGTATTCCCAGCCTTTCCCTCTCTTACTGATGTAGGTATAGTGTGAATGACGAGGTTCCCATCGCTTTCGGGCACTGGCATCCAAGAATACTGGAACTCTTTAGCTTCAAAATTATCTCTCTTCCCAGATGGTGATTTTGATTTGCTCCTTTCTCTTTCAAGTAGTTGTGAACTGGAATTCTGAAATGTTTATTACCATATTAAGAAAAAACAAGTTAAAGGCTGTAACTGAGAATTTACATTCCATAGGCAATAGATATTACTGTGATTGTGTTATTAGATTAGCAAACAAGTTAAATGTGGTAACTATCGCCTATATACATGAGATGGACATCCAAATAGATATGTTTAAAATAGAAGCTATAAATATACATTTAATTGTATACATGTTATATTTTTCTTTCAATTGAATATTTTTTTATTGTAATTTCGTCAAAAATGATATTCAGATTTTAAACTCTCAATCATACCATATTACTGTGCTTTCTACATTCCTTTTCAATTTTTCTAAATTCATGTTGTAATTTCTGTTGCCTGCATTTGTTGAGCATTTCTTGTCTATGTCCATCCATATAAGCAACATTCTGAAATAAAATTGAAATAATCTAACTTGAAATATGTAATATCCTCTAGGATCAGCTCTAGCTGTTACATGTATTTTTATTTTTAAGATAGTCCATAATTATGTATAACATAAAAATGCAAGCACATAAAATAACAATATCAAAGTACATACATTTTGTCTACTGCCTTTATTCTTTGGCAGAGAATTCAAAAACATCATTGTATCCTTATATTCCTTTTCAACATTCTGTTTTGTCATAGCAATTTTAGATCTCATATCTTGTAATCTCTTCAGATGTTCCATGTCTTGATTGTTATCTTTATTGCTCTCCTTTGCCGCTAGTGAGTAGGCATCTTCACCGGGCGGGCAAGTGGGCACCACGAGTCCCTCATCACTGAGTGGTACATCACGCGTGTTTCTGGTTGAGTGATTATATACAGTGACGGAATTCTTTTTAGCTAGTATACTTGGTATGCTACTTGTTGTTGTTGTTTTTTCTGAGGTTTTACCTTTGGCTGAAATCAATTTGTAGTCTAGTTAAAATGTTAGGTGTATAATTTACTGTAAAAAGTGTACAATAAAATTATCTTTTGTACTAACAAATCAATCTATTCTTAAAGTAATTACTTTTTAAGGATGTTGATAATGTACTTACTAAGTACAAGTAAGTAGTATATAAACATTGATTATAATAATTCATTCATGGCATTCATTACTATAAAAAGGGAGGCCACAACTCATGATTGCAAATGCAGATAGCATTTGCATTCATGAGTTGTGGCCTTAGTCCAAAATAAAAACTAGCTTATCAAAATAAAATACCTTTCTTAGTATAACTTATTCTATAAATAGTCCATGACTACTACTAACACAACAATACTATAAGCATGTTGAAATGTCCTTATAAATTTCAGTTGAACCATAAAAAGCTGAATGATAATATAACATATTGTATTTATTATTTAACAATATGGAACTACTGATATAGCAAATATATTGTACTACTAGAATAATGAAATTTATTAATTTTATTTTTATTTATGACCAAAATCAATTGCAGTATTCCTATGTATTATATTTATACAGGAGAACATGATAGTCACTACACTATGCATTAGATGACAATATAAAAACCATGTCACCTGCATCCTGGCAAGTTCTATGTGAAAGTCTATTCCTCCTAAATGGACTTGATCCTCTCAGAACTGGACTTGGAAACAAATCTCTTGCAGTAGGTCTTACTGAACTAAAAAACTTATTTATTTGGGAATTAGTAACATTCAATTGAGTATGATGGCAAATATAGTGTGAACAAAATTCACAGGTTTTTTCTGCTCGCCATGATGGCACTGGAATAATTTCCTCATCAATAACATGACATAGATCATTAAATGTATTACCTCCTGCATTAGAAGCTCTTGTCCGTAATATTGTTTGTTTTATACCAGTTAGGTCATTGGACTGTTTCTTCGCAACTGATCCTGAGTCAGTGTCCCTTAAATTGAGACCTCTGTGTTTTAAATACTCAGATACTAGTGTCAATGAAGGTTTTACTGGTAGTCTTTCCTCAGATATATTTGCAGGACCTCCTCGTAAGCTCAATGGCATTTCCTCACTAAGAGCAAATAGGTCATGTTTTTTACTTTTATCAGATTTACTTTCTGCATTATTGTTTAAGGATTCTTTTGTGCTGTCTCTGTCATCTTTAGGTAAAGACAGTCTGGGTATATTTGGTTCCCACTCATTTGGAACAGTATCAAAGTCCCACTGAGTCGCCATGTCAGATTGTTTTAAAAGTTCTTCTGAAGCTTTATCATTGTCAGTAATGTTGATATGTTGATTAGAATTGACAGGACCGGAAAGTTCTGGCCCTTTAATCCCATCAGTACCAATAGTTGGCTTTGTCAAAAGTTTGTTAACTACAGCAGTTGACTTGTCTCTACTGATTTCATTAGCGATTTCTCTGGAATGTAAATATATACATATTATACAGAATACTTTAAACTAAACTACACTCAACTTAATATATTTGAAGATAATACAAACCTTGCCTGTGCTTTTCTATTTAATAATTTTTGTTGTTCATCTAATTTCTCTTGTTTCTTCCTTCTTAATTCAGCAGCTGCCTCTCGTCCTCTTTGTTTTGATAAATCTATTTTCTCTGGTGATTCTAGTGTATGAAAATATTTAATATATATTATTGTTAAAAAATTCCAAAGTATATTACAACATATTATAACTAACATAATTTACCTAATAATGTAACTTCAGTAGCATTTTTATGACTCGTTCCAACACTCTTAATTCCTTTAGAATACAGATCTTCCAACTTTTTAACCAATTTCTCTTGGCGCTGCAAGTATTGTTTTTGTAAGTTAGTGTCAATATCTGCAATGTTCTGTAATTTTTCGGCTTTAGCTCGTAATCGGATCTTTTTAGCTATGTCTTTTGATTGTTCCCTAACCTAAAACGAAATATATCATATTAGTAACTTAACCGTTTAGAGATCAATATGTTTTAGTAAATTAGTATTTATAAAAACAGCGTACCTGTTGAAGTCTCAATTTTCGTCGTCGTAAAAATTCATTTGTTTTTAAACCTTCAATTTCGGTAGTCATTGTGACACAATTAGAGAATGGAGTATGTATCCACAATTTCTTTAATATAATTAATTACACTTATTAGTTTTAAACAGTTACAATATTAATGTAATGACGTAAAAAATAAAACAAACAATTCATTAATAATGTCAATAACTAATATAATAATAAATAAAGTAATAACAATTCAAATCAAAATCAGACGGAAACAAGTTAACAAACTAAAACTTTAAAAACACAACGTATTTATTGACTGACATTAACATTGACATTTGAATTAGATGTTTGACACGCTTTATAACGTAGCTACGCGTAAAGCCGACAATATTAAGCATTTATTACACGATATCTTGCTGTATATATTTACTACATGAGTAGTTTAGTGACCAAAATAGGATATGGAAAAACAAAATAATGTAACACTTATCGGATGTAATTAGCCCGTTATTTTATTTTAATAGTAAACAGCGTCTCAATTATAATTTCTGACACCAACAGCACAGTGATTACTTGCTCAATAGCACAAATATAATGAAAAGATTGTGTGACAATGAACGCTTGGCATGATAATTGTACTAATTAGAAATAAAATTATTAATATATTATATATAGGTCTATATTTATGCAACGGCGGTTATACCACATCTTTCTAATATTATTATATTATAAACGTAAAAGTTTTTAAGTATGGATGGATGTTTATTACTCTTTCACGCAGAAACTACTGAACGAATTTTGATGAAACTTGACAGTAATATATATCTGAATATACTATACATCAGAATAACATAAGCCATAAATTTCATGTGAGTAAAACCTTGGGCACAGCTAGTAGGTACTAGGTATCATATTGAAATTCAATTATAGAGGATGGATGGTTTTATTGTTTGTTGTAGATAAAAATAACTGGAGCAATTAGAATAAAATTTCCCTATGCTTCAGCATAAGTATGTACCTTTTTGCTCGAAATCACGAGGATAAAGCCGCAGATGTACGGAATAAAGATGTTTAAGGAATAATTTAATTAACAAGATTTTACTACATTGTGATTTAATATCAAAGAATTTTTTTAATTGTTTAAATTATTACACATTAACATTAGTAAAATCATATTAACACTTAGGCCGGACCCTGTTTGTGCAATTTATTGAAAAATATTTTATTAATTTAAAATGAAATGTTTACATGAAATGGTCGAGTAATTCACAATACATAGCTATCTTTTCTTACTTCGATCTGTTTGTCTTGTGTTACAGTATGGAGCCATTACCATTGCTACTTAGAAGGCCTTTAACGGTATCACCAACAGTACCTACCAGATTGCCATCAGAGGCACCCTTACCAACAGATCCTCCAACTCCTTCAAGAAGTCCTCCAACTACATTACCAGCGCCACTCGCTGTATTACTACCTTTACTCTTATCACTACCCACGCCCAAACGCAGAATATCTTGACCACCTAACATTAATTTAAGTAAATCATTGTGATCTAACAAACTTAAATCTATAAGACCTTCATCTTTATTCTTATTGTTGCTTTTATTATTGTCAGAACCTACGCCTACACGCAGAATATCAAGACCAGATAACATTAGTTTAACTAAGTCGTTGCTGTCTAACAAACTTAAGTCTACAAGCCCTTCGTCATTTCCCTTATTACCACTGCGACTTCCCGACCCACCATGGCCACCATTAGAGCTACCAGGCCAACGGTGCCCTCCAGATCCAGGCGCACCACGGTCACCGGACCAACCATGATCTCCAAATCCATGTCCTCCAGACCAACCGTGACCTCCATACCCATCATGTCCTGTGAATCCACCATGCCCTCCAGAATAACCACTGCCACCACGTTGAGCTGTGGTAAATACTAACGCGTTGACCAACTTGTCAATGATCTCTCCAACGTTAATAACGTTATGATAGTTATCTTTATGCGATGCACTATCGCAGTCATTTTCCAAAAGTTTTGATAACAATAGCAACTGGTTAAAATCCTCTCCTGGATTAGCACATGGAGTCGTTTCCGAGGGACGCGTTGGCATATAAGTGTAGACGGGGCGGCCGAGGTGTTGCGCTTCGATCAGCTATCGACGACAAAAAGCAACAAATATAAAAACTGTATTTTATGCAAATTAATATTTCTGATAATTACTATTCTCCTATTAAAATGTGTCCTGGAAATATTTCCAAAACTGTTGCCATGAATTTAAACTGACGTGTACTGAAATGATGGTAGGTAAAATTCTTTTTGGGGTATTGGTAACACAATTATAATTATTTTAGATTATTCGGATTACATTTTATGGAATCTGTACTCATTCGTACGCATGTAAAACGTACGTAAAAAAATGATATAAACATACTCCGTTGAACTTAATTATTTACATACATTAAACAGATATAAGACGTTTAGGTACAAAAAAATATAACAATTCAGTAAAACTAGGTAAGATCACATTATACAAGGGGTTCTTCTAAAACTAAATAAGAGAGTGATATATTACTTACGCCACAAAGAACTGCAATACAAGTCAAGGGGAGCATAGGAAAATACGCCATAATTAATTGATAAAATATAGAATTCATTTATTTACTATACATGTCCTATATATAAACCCTCTATTGCAACAGTACTAACATTCTGGTACAGTCAGTGATAAAATTAATTTAAGCAATAAATTAAATTATTTTAGCTTTACCACACATTTCATGTTTGAAGAATTTGTTTGTTGAACGTTTATTATATATTCTAAACAAACTGTTATAATCTACAGATACGATCTTGATATGTTGACGGATTCGATTAGTCGCACGGTTCAAATATTTGTTTTCATAATTATAATTGTCTGAATCGGTCTGGGTGTTTTCTATGTATCTAGTCTAGCATCCATAACAAAGATCTGCTTATCTAGGTGCTGCGTGAATTGTTCGTATAATATAAGCTTTTATAAAATATACCGTCTAATAGATATAGCCCTGAAATATTATAATTACTCTAATTGGTTTAATTCTTTTATTTTGAATGCAATGCAAGAAAAACAATAAACGTGAATGATTTAAAAATTATATCTAACAGTTCTGTACTTTGCTGTACGTGTAGGAGTGTTCATTTTGTAATATCAACATTCTTTATGATATTAATATGTTTTAGAAGGAATCGTCACGTTTACGAGTAACGAACAAAGGTAAATAATTATCAGTAGTTGTACGGCCGAATTTTCAATACCGTTACAAAAGGAAGTAAGGCAGTATATATATAATTATATAGCTAGGTTAAAAAATATAATTTCTTGCCCAACTCGATTTTATAATTTATTACAATTTACGTATTTTAATACAACAATAAAGATAAGTTATTTAAATATAATGGACACAGGTCCAAAACAGAAAAGACAAATAAATCCACGATGCAAAGCAAATATATTTTCAGTTTTAACGTTCGGGTACGTATCGTAGATTCGATACAAACGATTATAGAAACCACCTATTACTATATAAAAAATATACCTACGTATGTTACTTATTACATTTACGCAATCTTTTCTACTGGTTGTAGTCCAAGTTCCGATGCAAAATGGGAAGAGGAGATTACAGTTTATCATTCTTGACGAACCTTTTCAGATTCTTCCCATAAATATTTAAATGAATTCTATAGTACGTACATACAAAAACCAGTTTAAGTAGAGTTTTTAAAAGTTCGACTACGTTGGTTGCTTCGGACTCGTCTATTTCAGTTGCTAAGGAGTTTGCTTGATCATATTTTTTAGCAATTAACCATCTAATCTATCTATTTATAAATATATATTTTTAAGAGATTCAATAAAATTTACTTCACTAACTCGTAGTAAAACTAGTAGATATACGTTAATATAATGTTTCCTTAGTTTAGATAATCTTTTTTAAAATGAAAAATAATCAGTGAGTTACTCATTCGAAAAGTAGGTGGTGGCACGAATACGAATGTAGCAAAATGAAATACAGTAACCAACTAAGTCCGTTGTAAATTTTAAATAAATATTCACACAATTTTTCAATAGATGGACGTTAGAAACATTCAAACTTGGTTACAACCGTGACATCAAGGAAAGTGATCTGTATGGACCATTACCGGAACACCGTTCAGATGTCTTAGGTGAATTATTTTCTCCTTATAAACATAGTAATAGTAGTTAAAAGTACCTATATATGTAATTATATAATACAATTATGTAGTTTGTACACTTTTTTGAAGGTAGGAATTTTTAAAGTGTCGATTTTACAAATTGGTATGTTTCGCGAGGATTATTGTTTTATTAATAATTATTGTTAGATTAGAGGCACCATTGCTAACCATAATACATACTGTAAATGTACCGATAGAGCACGCAGTTACACCACTCCATATTCAACTATAAAAAAGAAATAAGTAGGTGTCTGACTAATTAAATTCTTACTAGAAGTATCTTTTTTATGAAATTAAAGTGACAAGCTAGCTGAAGGCTCGACCTATGGTATATCGGCGCTATCGCAGTTGGAGAGGACCACGGTCATTACGTTATCATGTGATGAGTGTATAACTGTTTGGTAAAATTAAATTAAGTGACCGATTACATTTCCTGATCAAAAGACCAATTAATTGCAATATTTCGTATAAGGTGATGCCCTCCAAAGAACTTGGGATAGAGAAGTCGAACAGAGGCTAGCAGATGGTTCCAAGCCCAGCTTGTGGAAGGTCCTTCTCAAAGTGTTCGGTCCTGAGCTCATGTTGTATGGCTTAATACTTGCAGCAATGGAATTTTTGATCAGGTATATGTTTAAAACACTTTATGTCCTGGTATTTATGTAGTTATTCAGAAGATTCAGTGCTACGATTTACCCTGTATAGGGGAGGTGGTGGCAAGATGGGGTACTTAAGCTTTAAAGGTCTGTAATATAAAAAATTACATAGTGAAACAATCATATTTATTTTTTAAATAACAACTAATTAATATTATTCTTAGGTATATTTGGTGTCATTAGGAACTTTAGGTAACACATTTGAGAGAAAAAAAATAAAATAAAAAAAAGGTATTTTGCCCCGTCTTGCCCCATGGTGCTGGTAAGATGGGGTACCCCCCTGAGGTAAGATGGGGTGATGAAAATGATCCTATGATCTCTGTAGAACAATGATTATTCGAGCTGGCAGAACACGTAGACATGGATGACTTCATCATCATCATCATCATCATCATCATCTTATTTCTACGCAGCTATTATGAGTCCATCTTCCACTTAATGAGCATGATATCCACCCTTCAATGGAAACGGAACAAACTTCATCATAATACATACATGGTGTGTTCCCCCATCTTCACTTTCATCAGATGTTGAAACTCTTCATTGTTTTGCTGTTTTCGGTGATCGGCTATTCTTCTTTAATTTTTTATTTTGATCTTTTGTAGTAGTTTTCTTCTGTTTTTTTTTTTTATATTAATCTTTTCTCTTTTTTGTTTCTATTTTCTATAGTTTTTCTGTTCAGCTCTGTTTTTTTTTGTGGGCGATGACTTCTAATTATTTTTTGTAGGAGGCGACGTGACAATTGCTGTGTGTCCACGCTTTTTAGCAACACGAGAGAATTTCCTTAGGAAGCCTTAACTTTTCTCTCTATAACCCATTTTTTCATCCAAAACCGCTTGAACTCTTCGCTTCCCGCATGGATTCTTCGGATCACGACCGACGACGTTAATCGTAGAATCATTCTAAAAAGACAAACTCACAAAAACGAACTCATTTTTTGGAAAACAAACTAGAACCGAATTATTCTCATCAGTTACCCCATCTTGCCTGCAGAGCCCTTTTATATAAAAAAATAAATAAAAACAAAACAGTCAATAATATTTAAAGAACACAATGCCTACTTTTTTATAGATTAGTTTAAGCATCAATCACAACAACACCTCACCAGGTAACGTTATTTAACAAACCACAGTCACGTGTTAAGCCAGAAGAAAATGTGATAAGCAACTTGCAATAAAACACTTATTATGCATTTTTTTCGACACTGTGCACTTATGAACCACTAAACACACGGCGACTGATAAGTCTCATGGTGGCGCGTCGCACGATGATTGAAAGAGCGTGATTGATCAATTTGAACTGTAAATTTTGGTGGGTACCCCGTCTTACCCACTACTATCTTACCTCCATCTCCCCTAATAGAAATATTTTTATACTCTCTTGTTTAGGGTTTTTTACCTAACTTATGTAAAAACCACTTTGGGATTCCATTATTTGTCTGTAAACATAAATAATATTTTTTTTATAAGGCACTATATATTCAATGATTATTATTTTATGAAGATTTATTCTTTATATAGGCTACAGCAACCACTGTTTCTGGGTTTGTTACTACGATACTATAGCCCAACTCAAGAATTACACAATAGCACGTAAGTTTAGTATACAAAAGAATTATTATTTAGTGTTATGGCCTTAATCTTTCCTTCTTAAGTATTATCTGTGGTACCGATTAGATAGGAAAAAAGAGTGAATTTGTTTATACTAAAAACACAACCACTAAACTGGGAATGTAAATTATAGAATAAGTAATACCTTTTATTATTCATTTTACTAGAACCACAATAATAATACTTTGTTTGTATATTGAATTAGGCCAGTATTATCACTGAAATAATACAAAACCGGCGTAGTTCAATAAAAATTTACAAATTAATTTCAAATTTTAAGTTAATTCAATATTACGAATCAAATAGATTCACAATTAAATGAGATTGATAATACTTAATTTAATTGTCACTCTATCATCAAGTTACCAACACTCTAATTAACCCATAGGTCTACACAAAGAACTCGGTCTATAAAACATTCCCATTTGAATACACATTTAATATAAAAATCAAATTTTAATTAATTTTGTGAATTTAATTGAAAGTATTTCATTAAAATGAGACAAATAATTACAGAACAAATTCGACGTATATCTCCCGTCTATTCAACTATTACCATATGGAAGACAGTATCACGTGGGGAGAGGCCGTGTTCTTTTCGTGTGGTATCGTATTCTGTAGCGCAGTTAATGTGATGGTACAGCATCCATTCATGATGGGTGCAATGCATATAGGGATGAAAATGAGAGTTGCCGTGTGCAGTCTTATTTATAGAAAGGTAAAGAGATAAATTTAGGCCCTTTTTATTGAAATATTCTTAATCCACACCAATATAATATTATAAAAACGCTATACGGCTGATCTTTGGTGAAGATAAAGCACCAAGAGCACGACTATAAGCTATTTTATATGTCCAAAAACGCAGACGAAGTCGCGTATAACAGCTAGAAACATACATATAAATATGTTATATACTCGCATATGTATAAATAAGAACAGACACACTTTCTTGCTTATAATATTAGGATTTATTTATTCTACAATAACTAATTACTCTATGATATTTTGTCAATTTTGATATTTTGGATAAGGTCCCTTGCAATTCAGCATTAGTAAAGTTTCCTTGAATTAGAATCAATTTTAGAATTATGTCACGTAACCCAATAATATTATTTACAGGCTTTAAAAGTAAGCTTACAAGCTATATCTGAAAATAATGCAGGTTTAGTGGTGAACATAATGGCGAATGATGTTAACCGTTTTGATACGGGGCCGCTTTTCGTCCACTACCTTTGGATCGGACCTTGTGAAACTCTGGTGCGTATTTTAAAAACGATAATAAAAATATATGATCGCTATCGTGTATTGTTTACATAATTAAGATACTTACATTTCGCCAAGCACATTCAAACACCATGGCAAATAACCACACTGGCCCTCAACGCATCCACGTCTCTCACATTAGGTGCCACTGCTATCAATTTAAATCTCAGACATGTCCCTAGTCTGAGATTTAAATAAATACGCAAAGTTATTTACTTAATGTACAACCACGTATTTATAATATTGATATTTTATTTTTTCAGCTGATGACATTATATTTGTATAGAGAGATGGGTATGGCTGCAGTTTATGGAGCTTTGGTTATTATGGCTGTAGTACCCTTCCAAAGTATGCAACATAATTCACAAATTAGTACCTAGATACTAGAGTTAGTTTTAACAATTTATATTTTTCCTTTCTAGTATTTTTGGGAACTAGAACAGCCCGTTATAGAAAAGGGACTGCTTTAAAATCCGACGAAAGGGTGAGACTCATGAAAGAAATCTTAATGGGAATGGAAGTTATAAAAATGTATACATGGGAACAACCATTTCGAAAAATTCTTGACGATATTCGACGGTAGGAAATTCAGAACAAGAAATTAATTTACTCTAGTCTTCTATTGCTGGTGTCATGAAAATACTCGCAATCTCTACGTCAAATTGTGTTGTCACGTTTATACAACTGTATCCCTATAAGCTACACTAACTCGTATTTGATCTAATGAATTATTACGTCTGCTTCTTCTTTATCCTATTTATTAATATGTGATGAGGGAATGGTTTTGGCTTTAGTTTTTTAAGACCTGCCGCCTGCCTGACGTCAACCCTCCTTAGGCTTCTTTTTATGATCTTCCCCAGTAGCCCGATAGCCTCACCTTACAGTAATCTTCCAGGAAGGCTAATTTGATTTGAAATCAGAGTTTTCCATCTCCTTGTACTAATGACCTGATTATTTATTGTTATATTTTAGGGGCGAAATATACTACATCAAGATGACGTCATACATCCGGGGCATGATAATGTCCTTCATCATGTTCACATCTCGTTTTGGTATCTTCATCACTGTGCTGTTATATGTGAAATATATCAACAAAATCACTGTAGAAAATGTCTTCTTTCTTACTTGCTTTTACAATATTCTAAAGCAGACCATGACGTTATATTTTCCTCAAGCTATTAGTCAGGTATTGACTTCATACTTCATTGAAGTGTATAATAATTACAGTTTTATTGTAGGTACAATATAATCGCTTTTAAACATATGTCAACTTAAATGATAATTGACCGTATGAAACAGATAGCTGAAATGAACGTAGCCGTTCAGAGAATACGTGATTATTTATTGACCGAAGAGTGTTATCCTTCTGCTAAGAAATTAGAAGTTAATATAAAAAGTGTGACTCCTAAGAAGAAAGTCACTATAGGTAATTTAACAGATAAAAAAAATATAATAAAGTAGTATGAGAAGAAACATTAAAACAAAATATCTTTTCTAGTTGATCTTCTAAAATCACTTGATCATGCTACCAATAAGGAGACTCCGGGCCCTTCATACAAAAGGAAGGACAGAAAAGGTATGAACTGCTCACACAAATGCAGGTTTATATACCTACTCGTAATAATACTTAAATTGGCATACATAACCATTAATGCTAAAGATGTAGAGACACATACCACCATGAATACAAATACATAGTTAAGACTATTAAAAAACAAATCCACTCTAATATTTGTAGGACATACCTACCTCATAATTACGTGCGAAAACTTTTAAGTATCTATCTCTTAATTTTATAGAGCAAAAAGTTGAAGCAATAATCACATTCAATAAAGCCAATAGTCGTTGGATAAAGTCCTCTAAGAGAGATGCCGTGGAAGATATCGACTTAAAGGTAATGCTTATTAAAACTCTAATATTAAGATTATCAGAAACATTGTCTAGAGAATACATATTTTCAGATATTATCTGGTTCTACAACAACCATAATAGGAGCAGTTGGTTCAGGTAAATCTACCTTGCTGCATATGATGCTTAACGAATTACCGTGTTCCCAAGGCGATATGGAAATCATAGGATCTATAAGCTATGCCAGCCAGGATCCTTGGCTTTTCGTTGGCAAGTAAAATTATAATATCAATAACTAAAAAATTGCAAATTTTGGATAAGTACCTAACCCACTTTATAATTGATCTTCAAATTTTGTAATTTATAAGTCAATGCAGTTTAGTATTAGGCACACGATATAATAACATCTTTACCTACGTAATGCTAACATGCATAACATTCATAGGTACTATTCGTCAGAATATTTTGTTTGGACAACCTTTCAACAAATCTCGTTATATGGAAGTTTGTAAAGTCTGTGCTTTAGAAAGAGATATTTCATTATTTCCACATGGTGACAAAACTGTTGTTGGGGAACGTGGTGTCTCGTTAAGTGGAGGACAACGTGCCAGGATCAATCTAGCAAGAGCTATATACAAAGAAGTAAGATTCCATCATTGCAACTATACTTACACCACTATAAAATCCATACTAATATGATAAACGGATTTGGTTTTTTTATGTTTCTTTGTTTGATGACAAAAATATATTTGACCGATTTTAAAAATTCTTTCATCAATAGAAAGCTAAAACGCGATACTGTTAATAGGTACTAGGTACATATATTTTGAATTGCAAAACTAGCTAATGTTTATAGTAACCGCAATAAATTGTTGATTTAATCTCAATTACAGGCTGATATTTACTTATTGGACGATCCATTATCGGCTGTTGATTCTCAAGTAGCCAAGCATATATTTGAAAAATGTATAAAAGGGTTTGTTATTAAATATGAAATATCCTTATTTAACGTTATATTATGTACGACTACGGACTACTTGCAGTTAAGTGAAGCGAAGTACGTAGTAAACAACTGGAAAAGATTTACCGCAGATCGCGCTCAGTGGCAAATCTTGGAAAAGTCCAAATTCCAACAGCAGATTGATTATGATGATTCTCATTTAAGGTTCATTCTACATACATTACCAATTTCAGGTATCTTGAAGAAAAGACCGTAATATTAGTAACACACCAGCTACAGTTTATTAAGTCAGTAGATCAAATTATTATAATGGATAAAGGAAAAGTTATTGCTGAGGGAGGTTTTGAAGACTTGAATGTAATATTTAATCGAATATTATTTGCTACTTGCTAATTTTGCATAATACTATATCTATAAAACACTTCTAAAAATTATATATGCAATTTATTTAAGGAACAAGATTTAAAGATAATAGAATTAATGGCGGATAAAGGTCGGGAAGTGCGTGAAGAAGATGACACAAAAGTAAGACAGAGCATATCGATGTCACAACCGAGTACAGTCAGTTTACATCGACGACGCTGGTCCCTTTTATTCAATACTAGTGCCACAGTAAGCAGAAATTATTTTGTAAATTTTTAACAGACGTCATATATTTTTTTTTAAATTGGAACACAAATTACCTGGCGGTCCACCTCCAGGTCCCTATATAGGTACATAAACAACACCACGTATATCACGAGTATTATGACGGATATCATAAATATGACGCCCGAAGTATCTATGCACAAAAACTACTCCTCATGAGTTGCATAACTAAACGTTTGCGAGGAGTAGTTTTTATGAATCGTTGCCAAATCTCACTCTTCAACCGAAGCTTACACAAAGCTACACCTTATACAAAGTCTACCTCAGTAAAATAATTATATCAATATATTATTGCAGGAGCAGACACAGGAGGCAGAATTACAAACTACGGGTCGAGTACATGGCTCTGTCTACCGCGAATATTTTATGACTGCTGCTTCTTGTCCATATGTTACTGTTGTTTGCATCATGTTTATTCTGGCACAAGTTTGTGGAAGCACTTGCGATTATTGGATAAGTAGATGGTATAAGAATAATCTAATTTTAAAATTTTGTATTAAACTCCTAAATGACTTTGGATTTAAGACTCAGATCATATAAAAACCCTTATTTCAGGTCTTTTCCTGCACCATATTTCTTTCTTAATAGATCAAGGTGTTCTAATGTCCTTCTTACTGGTGATATATGAAGATTTGTAGTTGTCTTTGATTTCAGGAGTGAGGTTGAAGACCGATTAACGGGTGATTCCACTTTAGATAACCTCTTGTGGTCTCAACAAGGCCTCGTACGGAATGATTTCGTTTTGATTTTCGGCATAATTACATTAGCAACGATTATTGTAGCTTTAATTAGAGCACTTATTTTCTTTTCTCTGTGTATGAAGTCATCTATAAAGTAAGTGATTCCTTCCGTTTAATCATTATAAATTCTATATGCATACTACATAAAATACAGTTAATTATAAAAACAATTGGTATTCCACAGGCTTCATGACAAAATGTTTGAGAGCATATCACGGTCACCTATGAGTTTTTTTCACGCAAACCCCTCAGGAAGAATCCTAAACAGATTTAGCAAAGATATGGGTGCTGTTGATGAGTTGTTACCACAAGCCATGATTGATTGCTTTCAAGTTTGTACATTTATTTTTAATAGATAATAATAAATACATCAAGAATTCAGATTAATTTCATGGAAGTAACTTATTTTCAGATCCTTTTGAATTTGATCGGTGTCATAGTGGTGATCTTGATGGCCGATATCACGTTATTGATACCAGTTATAACTGCTCTGATAATATTTTATATTTTGCGTATAATTTACATACGAACTACAGGGGCCGTTAAACGTTTAGAAGGAATAAGTAAATATTAATTAAATATTTTCTTTCTTATATTATTTACACAAAATTAAACCCTACCTAGGTTGTCAGAAATCAGTTCGAACTTGATACATATATGTAATGTATATGTAATATCTTATCGTATCTTTTCTAATTTCAAACTTATGTGGAATGTTCATTTTACATTAAATAGGGTTAAGTCTAGTGTTGGGTTATCACCTTAATTATAGTATTTTGTCAAATAAAGTTATTAAACATTAAAATGAAATATAAACACGTAAGCTGATAATGAAATGGTCCTCCGCGAATTATTTTCGTCAGCTCGCAGCCCTGTCTTCAGTCACGTAAACGCCACAGTCCTCGGACTGGCCACAATCCGTTCGTTCGGTGCTGAATTGCTATTAACCAGGGAGTTCGACCGACATCAGGACTTGCACAGTGCGGCGTGGTACCTGTTCATATCATGCAGCCGCGCGTTCGGATACTTCCTCGACGTTATCTGCTTATTGTTCATTATATGCGTCACATTTAGCTGTTTGATGAAGACTGGTTTGTATTTCTGGACTTTCACACATTACAGATTTTAAAAACGACAAATTTTTTTAAATTATGTTTACATAACAAAAATACACTTATTTTCCAAATATTATCCTTAATTTAATATGTAGTATAATAGACTAGCTGTTAGTCGCGACATCATACTTATGCTTTTTTGTGATAAAAAATATATTATCACAATAAAGCATACGACTAATGCAGCTGAAACAGAAACTAAATGTTACATTACAATTTAAGCAGGTATGCATTGCACATAATATACCTACATAGATATCTGTACCGTGTCTCTATAATAATATTAATACCCCTGGACAAATCACACGACGCCATCTAGTCCTAAGGTATGCAGAGTTTGTGTTATGTGTACTAGACAACTGATATAAATGTATAGATATTTTTTTTGTAAATACATACTTATTTAATATATATCTCAACATTGTATAGATATGGAGAGTAGCCATGTAGGCTTAGCAATCACTCAGTCAATATCTTTGACTGGTATTTTTCAATGGGGCATGCGACAATCAGCAGAAATGGAAAACCAAATGACGAGCGTCGAAAGAGTTTTAGAGTACACCAAGCTGACTTTAGAGCCTGCTTTAAGAAGTGTAAGACAATAATGATTAACATAATCTAACAGAAGCATACTTTGTATAACTCTTAGCCGACAAGCAGCTTGCTTTCTAATAAATGCGTTTTTCGGTTAATAGGCGAAATAAAACAGTAAAATTGAAGTATAACAGTTACGACCTCTTAGTCGTACGAGGAATTTCACGGTCATAATAACGTGATATCCATATTGCTGTGCATTTAGGTACCTATAGCTATAGGCGATTTTTACCACTTACCATCAGGTGGAACGTTAGGTTATTCGCATAATAACAAGGTAGAGATAGACCAGCGATTTCCCGGGACTTTGTTTTTTTTAGATAAAAAACTAAATTAAAATCTATTTAGCCGTTTAGTTGTGAAAAGATAAGTGAGTTCTGTCTATTACAATCGACAAACACTCTTTTGCATTTATAATATTAGTATATATCTACCTAATGTAGTATGTAATATGACATAGTATTAAATTAGTTCAAAACGTGAAATAAATATGTTGTAAAATTCATTTTAGAAATAGATTTACGTAAGTAAATAATAAAATGTATTGCAGACTCCAGAAAAAATACCTCCTAACGATTGGCCCTCGCAGGGGACCATAAATTTCAATAATCTCAGTTTGAAGTATTCTCCAGACGGAAATTATGTATTACACAAGTTAGCCTTAAATATTCAACCTCAGGAAAAGGTATACCTACCCATACCAATTATTTCCATCAATTTAGCTATTAAATGATATTAAAATCTTTATTGAAATTATAGAAAATGATAGGCGACGAATACATGATATAACCCCATATGATGAATATGGAATCTGCAAATTATCAATCAAATGAAATAGACGGGCAATCAATCTGTCTCAAATTGACAATAATAATGCGTAGTACGAGGAAAGGGATTGTTAGTAATGTGAACTAATTACCCCATCGCTAGCAATGTATCAAGTTAGGTTGACCTCCCCGCACTTCGTTTTGGAAACCATCGTGAAAAATTCCTTGTAAATTTGTCACGACGTTCCAACTGACTTGACTTCATGCTCATCTTATCATCCTCTACTGGTGTCCCGACAGCGTAAATCGTCAACGCAGAGAAAAGCACCGTAGCATAAAATTAATAGTAATAAAAAAAATGCATACCCATTTTGACAAGTCTCACCTAAGTCTAGTCAAGTTAAAAACTAGCAATTAAATATAGGAAATTATTCTTGGATGCTACAATGTTACGACTAAAGTATAAGTGCGAAATTTCCTACTTCTCCATCATAAAAAGGTGTACCTACATCCAATTTTCGTAAAAAGGTGTACCAAGTTTTTCCTTCACGTACTAATATCATGATAACTGTTGCACAGATTGGTATAGTAGGCCGGACTGGTGCTGGCAAATCATCAATAATACAAGCTTTATTCAGGCTGGCGTATTTAGAAGGGATCATTATGATAGATGGCATAGACATCTCGACGATTGGTCTTCATGATCTTAGGGAAAAAATATCAATCATACCTCAGGTAGTAAATTAAAAAATTAATCTACGTTAAAAAGAATTCACACCTAAATAAATTTAACTAAAGTTTTTAAGAACCAACTTTCAACGGTATTATATGATATACAGATTTGTTTACTTGTATTTATGTGGTGTTCTTCCCTTAAGTAGAGTTCTGCTTCGGTACATTGCAATGATTTCTTCAATACTCTATATGTAAACCTAAAACAATTAATATGTTTAGGAGCCAGTTTTATTCAGTGGCAATATAAGGAAAAATTTGGATCCATTTGACGAATATCCGGACGAACTATTATTGAAGGCTATAGATAACGTGGAACTTCAATCCGGATATGAAGGCACAGGTAATATACTATAGATAAAACCGTAATTATTTCTACACTAAAATTTATTGCCATATTACATAAAACTATGTTCTCCCGGAATATTTTCAAATTATATTAATAAACCAATTATATATAAATAAAGTTTTAAAACTTTCTTATTATTTTTAATTGCGTATATATTACGTATTCAATTTCAATAATCTAGCATCTCACGAAAGTCTTGCCGGGAATTTAACATGATGGTTTCAAAGTGGAACCGCGTGAAAGTCAACCTGACAGTCTATTGCTAGCAATGTGGTTATTACTCCACACCTTACTAACAATCCCTTCGCCCTACAATTAATATTACAGAGGCGCTATACAAGCAAGTTGCAGAAGGCGGCACAAACTTTAGCGTCGGGCAACGCCAACTGGTGTGCCTGGCGCGGGCTATAGTGCATAACAATAGAATCTTGGTGCTGGACGAGGCGACCGCTAACGTGGACGCGCAGACAGATGCTCTCATACAGACTGCCATAAGGCAACACTTCAGGGACTGCACTGTGCTCACTATTGCACATAGATTGAATACTGTTATTGATTCGGACAAGGTTGGGTTCGATCCCCACATTATAAAAATATTTGTATTCACTAGTATATGTTTGTTTTTTGATAAACAATTCACACAGCGCCATTTAATCCCAAGCTAAGAAGAGCTTAAGTTATGGGTACTAGACACTGATTTAAATACATACTCAGATATTTTTTTTGTAAATACCTACATAATAAACATAGTAAACACTCATACTCATAAATACAATAGTTTGTATCGTCCGAGGTAACGTTAATATTTTTTTATTTATTTACTTAAAACAGAAAAATATGTGTACTAATTTACTGAAGAAACGATGATATTCAGAGAAGTATAAAACTGTGTTGCGAATATCGACGGCCTCCATAGAGTTTAATTAATTAAAAAAAAATCCTATCTCGTTACCCATCACGTATTGTCAAATAAAATTTACAAAATATTTAAATTTACCAAAACAAATAAAATTTAACTTATGCTAAACCGCTTGTCAACCGGACTATTAGGAAGTAAGTAGATAGGTATAATTAAAATTGGTAAGGAATTAGAAAAAATATAATGTAACACGGTACGTAGACGTTATCTGTATTTGTTAACAAAAACAGGTACGTTAAGAAATTAAAAAAATATAGGTATACATTACTTTATTGTAAATACTACAGAAATTATCTCTATTCAATATAAACATTGTATTAAACTTTTACGAATAGATGTATTATAATTTTATTGCAATATTCTGAATTTTGAAAACATATATCTTATACATATATAATTTGCAGATCCTAGTACTGGACGCTGGCCGGCTGATGGAGTTCGATCACCCACACATACTCCTTCAGAACAAAAAGGGACACTTCCGAAGGATGGTAGCCGAAACAGGGCCAGCAATGGCGTCATTACTCCATAAACTCGCCGCCCAAGTAATCGAATCTATATTTTGGTATATAATAGTACTAGAGCGGGGAGAAAGAAATAGCAAATATCCCGTCAAGTCAACATCCACGCTATTCTCATTGTAAAATTCATCGTAGATATCTTTAATGTATTTACAAAGGCTTCTTTGTTTTTGTTTATAAGTTAAATTTTATTTGTTTATTTAAACTTAGATATTTTGTAAATTTTATTAGACAATACGTGATTAACGGGTAACGAGATAGCATTTTTTTTTTTAATTTATTAAACTCTGGAGGGCGTCAATATTCGCAACACAGTTTTATACTTCTCTGAATATCATCGTTTCTTCAGTAAATTAGTACACATATTTTTCTGTTTTAAGTAAATAAATAAAAATAAAATAAAATAAATATTAACGTTATGCGTTGCTAACTAAGAGTAAGATGTCATGCCTCTTATCCTGTAATTTCTCTACCTAATTGTATCCTACAACGGAAACATATTACAAAGCAAGCTACTTGGTTGCTGAAATAGATGATACGTCTAGTTAATTAAGAAATTTTAGCAAATTCGCTGAAATCGATTAACTGTCCTAATTTTTATAATTTATTGGTAGCTTACGAGTACAGGAGGACGCTATTCTGTCAGTGTTATTCACAAAAGAAAAACTTCCATAAAGCTTATCTTATTTGCAATCCACACATATACATATATATAGGTACATTTTTATCTATAAGACATGTGCAACTGCAAAAAACTATACTGTAATATTCAGTCTCTTATCTATCTGCGTATCAAACAACATTATTATATTAACCGATTTCAATAAAGAAAAAAAATATTTGACAAAATCAAACAGCCGATATTCCTCTCCGTTTGTTTCAGAATTATAAAATGAAGCATTCAACTTAGGAGTGAACTAATAAATGACAAGATATTATTATTATAAATATAATATGTAATAATTTAATATACTTATTACAATAACAATAACTCTATTCATTATTTTATATTTAAATGCATGTTTTAATATAAGTAGAGTATAATAATATAGTAACTTACACGTAAAATAACATAACTTTATAACCATAACGCCGCTTTTAGAAAGTATTGTATATCACTAATTTAAAGCTTACACTGAGAAAAGTAAAGAAAAAGGTGTGTATTTATTAAATAATCTCCATATTGCAGTTAAGGCTTGCTAATTGTAGCTCCATACGTTTCTTAAATCCTTCCACAACGATATCCATTTGTCTAAAAAAAAAGAGAATATATTTGTATATCTAAAATTTATTTTTTGATAACATAAAAGATTTCTTGAGTAAAAGTATACACTTACTTCTTGTCCTCTTCATTTTCTAAAGGTGGAATACCAGCTAATGCCTCCTGTAGATAGTTTCTGTAACAAACCAATATAATTGTATTGATTTTCTCAATACTGAAGAATACTTCCATCGTAACTTTATCGCGTTTATACACTTCTCTTAATACACATGTGATTTTTAATAGGCTTTAGAAAATACGGTGAGCGATAATACTTTCTATCTTGGAATATTTTACACATTTCGAAGGACCAATCGAATTAATAAATGGTACAAATTACTTTCGTAATAGAAATAAGGTACATTATGTAAATGTATGAGATGAGAGCGATCATCACAATTAAATCTATATGTAATACCAAGTTTCAACTGAGCAATAACTTTATATTTATTTTTCTTACTAGCTGACCAGATCGATATTACCCTGTCTTAACAATGAACATTGAATTTTAAAAAGTCGGTCTATTTCTTACTATTTTTCTTTTACAAGAATCTACTCCCGACAATAACAAACACAACAAAAAAAAAGTTTTAACGAAGGTGGTCACGGCATCACACGTGAAAGGTTAACCGTTCACATGTGATACCGTGACCACGGGTAGTTGGGTTTCATTTTCATATATACATATAAATTATTTCTGAATTAATAGAAACGTCGTTGACAAACTAAAATTAATCCACTAATTTTAGTTCGTCAACGACATCGATTCAACAAAACTAAAATTAATTTTAGTTTACAGTTGACATGACCTCTAATTACTAGAACTACATGAATATTAAGAATACAGAGAATACACGTGACTTACTCTGCCTTGTGCGTGAGATGCGAGGCGCAGGCTAACCGCAGTAGCGTGCACTCGAGCCGCGCGAGGAAGGCAGCGGAGCGCGACGCCCGCGGAGAACACGCGCCCAGTCGGGCCACCTCCTCGCACACCGTCTCGCACACGTCGCGCACGTACCGCGCCGCCGCCGCCCCGCACACGCTGTCCACCTGCACTCCACACGCACCGCACACGTCACCACAGTCTCGCACGTACCGTACACTTCACCACACCATCTTGCATATGTCACCACAACGTCTCACAAACGGCAACATAACGGCAATACACATGACACAACAACTACATCGTGCACGCATTGCGCCTCACACATTGCATTCCATACAAAACACGAAGCTCACACATCATCCTTGCATCTTAAACTTTACGGTTAAATTAAGTGTGGTTGCAAATCCATGTGTATCAATATTTATAAATGACTAGACAAAAGTATATTTTTAACCAATAAAATAAAGACAGACCTTTAATCCTCAATATTTATCATCAAAATCATCGAAATTTACAGTTGGTTCGATCTGTAGATATTGGATTCATGTACCCAATAAAGAAGAAAAAATAATCCAAATCTCTGAAATCGTGCGTAGTTACGAGCGGTACCAACCTCTGCATGAACGGCGATGAGGTTGTTTATGATCTCGTAGAGGTATGGCCTTGCGTCGTTCGGCAGGTCGTTAGTGTCGATCCGCTGGTGGCCCATGTACATACTGGGCTCGATGGTGCCGACCAGTGGGTCTCCCTTGTGCTCCAAGTACGTTTCTGCGATCGTACTTTCCAGGTTGCCCAGCGCGTCCTTACACGCCTGTAGCGCTTGACTCGGATTCGGCAATCCGAACCTGGTGAATTTGATATTTTTCTTCTATTATTATTCACGATAATAACAACATAGTATTGTGAGTAAAAATTATCACCATTGTCATAATAACCCATCGTACATATAAGGCTTATTTTGTAAGAGTTTGTACAGAGGAGGAATGAGTATTAAACTATAATTAGTATTTTGAAGAGCTTAGGTTGCAAAACAGATAATAAATAGTGGAATAGATAAGCCACAAACACATCTCTAGACATTAAGTTTCCGTTCTTGGGAACATCAATGCAGTATCGATCTTTAATTTTAATAGAAGCATAGAGATCTTTGAAGGAGATATGCATCTTGATAAGCCTGTAACTACTGCTAAAAAATGTATTCTCATTTGCTTGTAATCCTAGACAAATATGACTTAGCCTTGAAGTTATTTTTTATTTATTTATTTACATATACTCTATATTGACCGATTACAGAACAAAATCAAAAACAATTAAAATAGAAAATATACATTAACTGATACAAAAGGCGGTCTTATCGCTAAGCAATCTCTTCCAGACTACCTTTGGGTGGATAGAGAAATAAAAATAAGAACAGGGTAGGTGGCGGTAAGTTAATGATGGATGTTTTATATAGGTAAGTGCGGTCGGTCGTAGGTGTTACTATCAGATGAAGCAGGACTAAATATCACCAAGTCGTAAGCAGACTTAATCACCAACAAAAAACAATAGTGTGTAATTGTTCCTCACGTGTTGAAGTCGGTGGCGATGTTTTGCAGCGTTACACGGCGAGTGTACTGCGCGTTAGCAGCCGCCACCAGCAAACGACGCTGCCAGCCACTCTCTGCCCCGCCCACGCTTTCGTCCAAGGGCTGGTCTAGCGCCACGGATAGGCTCGTGTTGTTAAAGTCCTGGATATCGATGTATTTATACTGTTGTAAACATTTATTTCTGAGTAGCTTACTATGTAGATTGTGATATGAGTAGAGTATATTTCATATGTTAATAAAATTATAGGTTAGTAATTTAGATTTCAGAAATGACAATGCATGATGGTTACTACGGGCATCATGATAGCAGAGTCAGTTATACTGTTTGTTATTATTCTGATTACTAATTTGTAACAATCAGTGTGATTTCCATTTCAGTTACATAGAGTCAGTTAAATCACAGATAACATAATATTACATACAGATACCCCATCCCATACAAGAAAATGGTTCCTTCCTAACTCGGGCTATTCTTCGGGCTATTTTATTTCGCCACCGTAGCCGCTAGATGTCGCTAGATCTGAAGCAGTTCGGATTACTAGTGGGTGCTTAGTAACAAAGCATGAAAATAGATGGCAGTGAATTCAGTCTACATGACATCTGTTTTGCAAAGATATGTATATAATAGATATGTAGGTAACTGTATCATGTACCTCATTAGGGACGATTCAAGATTCAATGTAAATGTGTAGGTATAATATCGTTAGCCGACACTCTGCAGATATGGCTTATGTGCCAATGTATATACCTATTGTGTTATGGTTTATTTTACATTCCATGCCTATTTTTTTTGATATGTTGTAACGCGTCTGCGCTATACGTACAGCCTGATTTTGATACGTTTATACTCGTACGTATCAAAATCGGGCTATACGATTTTTTATTTCAATCGTTATATGTATGAGACTGATTTTAGCTACAATTAATTTACTGGTATATACCTCATGTATTCTACGATGTACCCCTCTTTTACCTAATGAGAATTCCGCTATATCTTATATATAAATTTTGTATCACAGTGTTAGTTGCCATATTTCTCCCACATTTTGATGAAATTTGATATGTATACTTCCCAGGTCTGAGGTAGGGTTGTTATCTATTTTTTATACCCCTAAGTCATAGGGGTGGCCTACCCCGAAAAAATATTTTTTGTATTATGGACAATTTTTTATTTATTTATAATGTTACATTGAAAATACATACACGCCTAAATTTTCACCCGTCTTTCACCAACCCCTATTTTTAATAGCGATATTCTTACAAATATTATAAATGCTAAAGTAACTCAGTCTGTCTGTTTGTCTCGCTTTCACGCCAAAACTACTGAACTGATTTAATTGAAATTTGGTAGACAGATAATGTAGACCCTGAGAAAGGCTACTTTTTAATGCGAAAAAGTATTGAAAGGGGAAATGAAAGGCTATATGAGGATATCGCAATTTTTAAAGTCAGATCTTGTAAGATTAAGTGAACAGGGTCGGTCTAGGTTTTTCATTATTAGAAATGTGTAACGGGGTAACACGTTATTTAGTGCGAAATTGTGTATATTACAATAAAATTTAACGAGAAAATATTATAATGATATCACTGGGACACTCATTGCCTTACTACTATATCGTCCGTTAGTCGCGAACTTTCTGGAAACACGAGAGGCGCTATCCTATTGGTCGGTCGGCGCGGTTACCGCGCGTAGATGAGTAGATGAAGTACTTAGACGAGTCTCACGGCGCCGCAGCGTAAGTACTTACTATACATACGTAGTATACATATGGGTATTACAAATGTTTTTATTACTAGTAATATTACTCTGTTATCTAAGCAAGTAATGTGTGCTTATTTTGAACTTGATAACATTCTGAATTACTCGTATATCTTTCAATATCTTTAGCGGTATAAACCAGGTTATGTACTACTACTAGTATTGTTAGTGAGGGATAAAGTTGATGAACAAAAATAAAACAATATTCGTATTAAAAATATATTCATCTAATATTTTTGGCATTATTTTTAAGTTTCTTCCAAATATAAGGGGTCTGACATGGGGTGTTATGTACCTACATTAAAAGATAATTTTTGAAATGTATGAAATGTAAGGACCTACATTAAAAGATAATTTTTGACATGTATGAAATGTATGAAAGAAATGTATGTACCTACATAAAAAGTTCATTTTTGAAATGTATGAAATGTATGAAAGAAATGTATGTACCTACATTAAAATATAATTTTTGAAATGTATGAGATGTATGAAAACAATGTATGTACCTACATAAAAAGTTCATTTTTGAAATGTATGAAATGTATGAAAGAAATGTATGTACCTACATTAAAAGATAATTTTTGACATGTATGAAATGTATGAAAGAAATGTATGTACCTACATTAAAAGATAATTTTTGACATGTATGAAATGTATGAAAGAAATGTATGTACCTACATTAAAATATAATTTTTGAAATGTATGAAAGTAATGTATGTACCTACATTAAAATATAATTTTTGAAATGTATGAGATGTATGAAAGAAATGAATGTACCTACATAAAAAGTTCATTTTTGAAATGTATGAAATGTATGAAAGAAATGTATGTACATTAAAATATAATTTTTGAAATGTATGAGATGTATGAAAACAATGTATGTACCTACATAAAAAGTTCATTTTTGAAATGTATGAAATGTATGAAATAAATGTATGTACCTACATTAAAAGATATTTTTGACATGTATGAAATGTATGAAAGAAATGTATGTACCTACATTAAAAGATAATTTTTGACATGTATGAAATGTATGAAAGAAATGTTTGTACCTACATTAAAATATAATTTTTGAAATGTATGCACCGTACAATAACAATACACGTTAAACATCATACCACAGAGTCATACGCAAGTTAAAAACAAACTGCTATGATATTAATGAGAAAGGAAAATAAACTTTATGGTATTCGAGTTAGGGTCGATTTCTCTCTTTTTTTAAAACTATTTTAATCTTACCAGTTGCCAGTATTCGAAGACAGCTACGATTCGTACTCGATATTTTAAATTATTATGTAATCGATTTTTCAGTACAAATGTAAATAACCAACGACACTAATAATGTACTACTATATTCCGTTCTTTGAAACGGAATACTGCTATACTTAATACAAAATAATGAAAATTTACTGTTCACAACGACTCATTAAAAGCATCATCGAATAATGCGCTGTAATAAAATCCTGTTATCGATTATTAAAAAAAATCGATAATACATGTATTTATTTTTAATATGACAACACTTCATACATAAGTATTATTGGAAATAGTATTATTTGCTTGTTCGGCTATTTTTAATTTACTTAAACTTTTTTTATATGTTTAATTTACAATAATAATATATTAAGTGCTTATTATTGGAAAATATAAAAAAGACATTTAATTAGGCCGATACAAATGACAACAATGCCATCTATGAAAGCATTTTGAAAACATTGAGCCCCGTATTAGCACTGATTAAAGTGTAATTAAGTACTGGAAAATAACAAAATGAGTAAATATATGAAAATTACTTTTCTAAACGCATTATTTCATTTTAACATGTATATATATTTTTTTAAAAATGGATTAAACTTTTTGAAAACACAGTTTTGTTTTTTAAAACGTTTGCAAAACTATGAAGAATTCCATCGATACCAATCACGCCATCTATATGCAACTTTTAGCAATAATAATGGCTATTTCCTCATTGAGTGCCACTGGTTAAATAAACGGAATTGTTATAACAATTCCATGAAAGGCCTTTTAAAAATAAAATTTGTATGCGAAATGAGATATGCGCAGCGAGTTGGCACGCGGTGCATGCCGTTGTAGAGTCGATAGAGGCGTTATAAACCTAGCGTACTAAAGGCGTACTTGGTCGGCGTGCTGCAGCGCGAGGCGGTGCAGCGCGGCGACGTACGCGAGCAGCGTGAGCTGCGTGTGGCGGAGCGTACCTGGTCGGCGTGCTGCAGCGCGAGGCGGTGCAGCGCGGCGACGTACTCGAGCAGCGTGAGCTGCGTGTGGCGGAGCGTACCTGGTCGGCGTGCTGCAGCGCGAGGCGGTGCAGCGCGGCGACGTACGCGAGCAGCGTGAGCTGCGTGTGGCGGAGCGTACCTGGTCGGCGTGCTGCAGCGCGAGGCGGTGCAGCGCGGCGACGTACGCGAGCAGCGTGAGCTGCGTGTGGCGGAGCGTACCTGGTCGGCGTGCTGCAGCGCGAGGCGGTGCAGCGCGGCGACGTACGCGAGCAGCGTGAGCTGCGTGTGGCGGAGCGTACCTGGTCGGCGTGCTGCAGCGCGAGGCGGTGCAGCGCGGCGACGTACGCGAGCAGCGTGAGCTGCGTGTGGCGGAGCGTACCTGGTCGGCGTGCTGCAGCGCGAGGCGGTGCAGCGCGGCGACGTACGCGAGCAGCGTGAGCTGCGTGTGGCGGAGCGTACCTGGTCGGCGTGCTGCAGCGCGAGGCGGTGCAGCGCGGCGACGTACGCGAGCAGCGTGAGCTGCGTGTGGCGGAGCGTACCTGGTCGGCGTGCTGCAGCGCGAGGCGGTGCAGCGCGGCGACGTACGCGAGCAGCGTGAGCTGCGTGTGGCGGAGCAGCTCTGCGGCCGGCTCGCCGCCCGCGGCCAGCAGCGCGCCCTCGCGCCGGCCGCCCGTCGCCACGCACTTGTGGATCGCCGACAGCGCCTCCCGGGTGTACGTCTCCAACAGATGCGGCTGTCGACACCACCACGCTCGTTGATACATGTATATACATGCATTGCATCCACACAGATAAAATGAGACCTATTTGGACTACGAGTCGAACATAAAGAATTACAATAGACAAACAAAGGATAATTTACAGCGCAATCCAGTCCTAAGCAGAGCCTACTATCGGTACTAACCAAGTGATTAGAAATATTTAAATATTTCTTTACAAATACTTGCATAATATTTCTTCCAGGTTTCAAGTATATGCTATATTTAAGAGAAAATAGACAAAGAGTTAGGAGATAGCCCCTAAGATCTGTCTGTAGAGACACTACAATGCCATGAAGAGCAGATAGCTGTATACACTGTTACTTAAGTACAGTATAATTTGTACCATAGTAAACTGCATATAACTGCATACTGTCTAATCATTCCCTGTCTCTCTCCCGGAAGGCAATGCTATCTAACTAATACTTACAAGTTTGGTAATAGCACCATAATCGGTGTACTCTTCAATTTTCCACGTTTCCTTGTCTGCGAGCGCCTTAACACGCTTGTGTGCGCGTTGTAGGAAGCAAGTCATCCCATACACCCGGTAATCGAATATAACTTTCTCTACCACGCTTAATGGCTGTAAACAACAACAACGTACATATATAGTAGTCTGATAAACACATTATCTTCCTTTGCGTTGCATAAACAGGTAACAAAAATATACCTGTGAGGGCAAATCTAGTTTGAGCAGCGAGTCGTAGGCCTCCCGCAGACTGCGCAGGTTGGCGACGAGCCGCAGCCGCAGCGTGTCGGCCGACACCGCGCCGCCGCCGCACATCAGGCACGTGCGCATTTGTGACGAGAACTGCTCCACCGCTGCTATTATCATTTCCTGTTCACATCACATACATTGACATTACATGTAATAATTATACTTATTGTGGCCGCGTTTTCACCCGTGTGAAAGTCGCTTATGTGTTATTCTGATGTATAAACTATATTATTGTAAAATTCCTTTAAAATCCATTCAGTAGTTTTTAATTGAAAGTATAACAATCTTCCACATTTACAATATTGTGCCTTCACTTGTAATATTTCTGTCAACACTTGGCACCTGTCACCTGTCTATTAGTTTAGGTCACAACATAACTTCGATTTAAGTTCACTGTGGAGTCAGTCTACGTTAAGCGATGTAGCACAAGACTAAATAAACTTGTTAATGTAGTACAATCATTCAACCTGTAAATCTAAATTGTTATTAATCAGCTTATTAATAACAATTTCGATTTACATGTCGAATTAATTTATATAAATATTTAAATGTATTTGGAGGATAATGACATTTATAAATGTACATAATTTTATATTAGATTTATTTATTACGATATCATTTCAACATTCGCATACCCATACGAGGTGCTGCATGTCATGAACTTTTATTAGTTAGTAAGATCCAAACTGTACCATGTGGCAGACAAATAAATTTAGTAGCGACAACCATCCAACCATCGCGCTACACTATTAGTAAGATGTGAACGATGGAGATTTTGCGGGTCGTAGATATCGGGTACCTTGAGTTGTTCGTGGCGGCCGGGCGCGGCTGGCTCGCCGGCGAGGTCCCGCGCGAAGTAGCGGCGGGCGAGCGGCCACAGGGCGTGCAGGTGCGCGGCGAGCGCCCCGCAGGCGGCCGCGCACCACGCCGCGCGCACCGCACTCAGCCCGCCCGCGCACCGCGCGCACTCCGCGCACGCCGCCCACCACGCGCCCTCAGAGCTCTCTTTCGACTTGCGCTTCCCTGCATCATCATTCAACATTTCACCCCGGAATAAGTCCAAAGTCCACTGCTGAATAAAATCCTCCCCAAAAGTCTCCACGACGATCGGTCCTGCGCTGCTCGCATCCGACCTTCTCAGCGATCTCGACCAGATCGTCGGTCCCCTTGTTGGAGGCCTTCCCGCGTTGTGTCTTCCGGTCCGTCGACAATTCGAGGACTCTACTACCCCTACTGCCATCTGTTCTACGAGCTATGAGCCTTGCCCACTGCGTGGCGCTTGCCTACTTCTATCACCATAGATTACCACCAGAACCGAGTCTTATTTGATTCTAAGAAATACTTTTTTTAATAAATCCTATTCCTTTGTTAACTATTATTTGAGCTGAGCTCTCCTTCAACTTGCAAGTGCCTACATACGCACTTCTATCACATTTAAACTTGAACTTAACTGTAATTTTTTAAAGTTTCAAGTTAGTTAATACTGGAATTATTCTAAAGATAAAATTTTATGAACCTATAAAACCTCTTGCTCATAGAATACATTTATATCTGAAAAGAACTATATTAAAAGAAACATATGTTACCTTTGTCACTTAATTCTTGTTCTTCCTTTTGTTTAAAGTGGTCCTTGACTTTGTTCATAAGATTCATTAGGTATTCTTTTCGACTAATAATGGCTACCCATGCCGCATCCCCTTCCCAGTTCAAACTCACTAATAGCCTAAAATCAAAATAAAACCTTGATTTAAGTAATTTCTGGATGATTTCCATTAAAATAAGTAATGAATTTGTATCTGTTTTACTTCTTTGGTTGAATGACTATTAATGTATTTAGATAAATAAAAGCACACACATATTCAAATTTAAACTTAAAATACTTATAGTAGTAATACATACTTTATATATTTTATTTGTTCTTGTACATTAATAGGCATTGTCTTCATCCTTGTGTGTAGCTTCTCTTTCAAGTCTTCAATTTTTTTGTCTATTTCAGCTAGAATTTTTTGGAATAACTACAAAATACAAAACATTGTTATACATTATTATGACTACTATACATATTGTATAGTTTGTCTGTTTGGAATCAATATTCCAGAGTTTTTCTTCCTCATTTAATCATCAATCGAATATTTAATATAGTTATTTGAGATTTAAAAATGGCAATATACTAAATTATCTTTAAATTACACATACTGGAACTTCAAAATGAATGAATATTATTTTGTGTTTATATGACAATACCTTAATATCAGTATTTCCAAATAGGTTTTTAACTCTCGTATAGTCATTGACTACTAAATCATACTCCTTTTTCTTTATGTTATTATCAATGGATGCTGGTAGCTGAAAAAGAAATTTATGTCGCATAAGCAGCGACAGAGCTTCTCGGGTTTTATCTGCATTTTCTTTACGTGACAGTATTTCAGAAAAAAGAGAATCAGCCAATGTGATCGATTCTGGAATAATAAAGGAACAGAAATAGTACAAACCACAGGGGAAAAAATGTTTATGGTAGGTATTAGAGTGGGAACTCATGGTTACAATGTACTAAGTAGATCTAGTGATTGTTATATAATAATTAGTAATATTTGATTGTTTACTAAAATTTGGAACTCCATACCTTCTATGGCAGCTTGTAAACTTGGCAGTGGTTCTTTGCCATTTTTTCTCTGGTCTTCCTCAAACATATTTTTGAGTAATACAAGACGATCTAATTGGTCCATAACAGCTCCAGTGTTAGCTTTCAGAAAACTAAGGTGACCCTCTTTTTGACTTTCAACCTGATTGATAATAATTTAAATGTGTTAATACAAACTAACACATAGTTTGTGTGAGTAAATGAAAGTGAGGGTTACAAAAGCCAGAATCTGGTTTTCTAAATATTCCCATAAGATAATAGATTCTATACAATGATAAATTAAAATGGTTTATTTTACCAGAATGGACACACTATAGGATATTACATATATTTTTTTTAGTTATGGAGTCACAAAAAAGTTTTGCACCAGCACAATTACATTGTATGTAAACATTACAAAATAATTAAAATACTTACCTTAAAAATTTGCAACTATTACATTCTTATTACATATAGATATTTTTGCTTACAATTAATAATTACTATATAACTCTTTTATTGTGCTCAGAAAAATATTTACAAAATATCTTTAAATAAATGTTCTAAACACAAGGAGGCTTTATCATAGCAATTTGTAGCACATAACTTTAATTAATACAATTAATCTAAAATAGGACAGGAATCTACTTTTTTTTTTTAATTATATTATATTACTGATATTACTATACTGATTTAACTAGGACATAATTATTGAATATTCTGAGCTCACCTTCCTTTGCAAAAACACCATTCCTGCCTTCAAGTCTTCATATGAGGTATTGCTGTGATGTTCTAATAGATACCAGCCAGGTTGGAAGTTTTCATCAGTCAGATTGCCTGACCTGAAATTTTTATTAAACATCTATATGTATATATAAGTATTAGTAAATGAGTTATATACTATATTGCAATAATAAATATATATTTTATAATTTAATCCATTTTGAAAATTTGAAAATTAAAGTTTGTGCCTTAAAAATTTTACCCATCTGGAAACAGTTCATGCAAATCTTCCTCAGGGAACTTGCAATCATCTCCCTCTGTAGACAATCCTAAAGGGTCAGGTGGGGTGTATGTAGTAGGAGACATGGGCCGCCGACCCCATGGTAGGGAGGGTGGTGCAGCTTCCTCTACCCATACTGCACTCTCTTTAACTGGTCCTATAGATTCATGATAGCCTGAAAATTACAAAATGAATAATAGACAATCTTTTATACTGCTACTGTCAGAACTAACAATTATTCTAAATGAAAATATAAGATATCTTGCACCATTAAGAAAAATAAAAATGATTCTAATGAAATACTGAAAGTAGTTTTCACTGAACTTGTTCACTATATATATTAATCATTTATCTGGTGATCTGTATTACACCAGCTTCTCACAACAATTGATTGTAATAACAAATTTATGCATTAATTATCCAAAATAATACATGTATTCATTGCCAATGTATTGTTGTACAATGTTTGTGAGGAGAAACAAATAAAAATATCATTTATCTATGCTACAAAACATAACCATAAGAAAAGTATTTATAGCTTATAACTTGAATAAAGTACAAATCATTTGTACAATGGGATATATATAGCTAAGAAAGAGTCAATTATTAGTAGAGATCTCACCTCTGAATTGTACCGTTGATGTGCCCTCTCCGCCAGACTTGGTTGTAACTATGATGTCTCCGCGGCCCTTACATGGCCCTGAACGAGCCACTATTTTGTTTTTACTTTTCCATTCAGCCGATAGTAAACAATCACACCCGCATATTTTTAAACCTGTTCACAAATTATATACAATTCTATAAAAGGAATAAGTGGAAATTTAAAGTTTTTAATGCAACTAACTAACTAATAAAAGGTAGATGATTTGAGACACCTTAAATTTCATTTTCAATATCTTTAGTTCAAAAGTTAATCTTGTATATTAGACTCCCATTTCCGTATTTAGACTACAGATATGGACGTTGTGCGTGAAAAAAATTATCTTACCAATTAAATCAAATGCAGAAGTGCCTAAAAACTCTCCACGAATTGTTACTCGTGTTCCTGGAGGGCCTTCTTTTGGAGAAACGCCAGTTACTACAGGTGGTGGACCCATATTTATTAAATACTATCTTAATAAAAGAATAAATGAACAGTTTATCAATTGTTTAAATATGAATTAATATTAAAAATTATTGTTTTTTGCAGACTACGTGTAATATAAAAAAAAATTACTTAAAAAAAGATTTTATTTTTGAAACATAACAGGACAGACTAGGTGAAACTATTTAATAATATTTATTGCTTATAGTTTTAATTTTTGACATATTAAACACACCACAGATCAAAATATTGTCAAAAAACTTCATTTACAACAAGTATACATTAAATAATTAAAACCAACAAAATTTACTATGAAAGAATGTGAATATTCTAATTGTCAACGTAAGTCTTAACATGGCTCTATATATTTTTTCCATTCAGTTATTCAGAGCAATACAGTATTTTTTCACATTTGTAATAAGTTCTTTATTTTTATAAAATGATAAATAATTTCTCAAAAGTGCTCTTTTAAATGATAAATAAAGTTTAATTACTAAACTAAACTTCCTCTTACAGTGGCGGTTAATTGCTCTGTGATTTCGGCTGTCATTTGTCAACTATACGTTAAGGTTTATTCATACTAATTTTTTTGTCGGAGTGCAATCATAATTTAATATCTGTAAATTAATTTTGTGTTCAAATCATCAATTAATATTCCTAATTTAAAATTAGGTGTATCATGAGTGTACTATAAAAGACAATATTAATCGATATGGCACAATCTAATTTAAGGTGTGTGTTTAATGGCAAATTAAATATCATATTATTTTATTAACTTTAATTATTTTGACTTACCTATCCTATTCTTTTCAGCGATATAGACGAATATGGGTTTGAGAGACACGAAGACTTCGATTATAATAGTTATGAGGACTTCATCTCGGCGTATTTGAAAGTTTTGGCCTCAAGAGCACAAAAATGGGGTGTGCTACTTGGTGAAGGAAAGTCGGTCAAACGTAATAATACAGTGAAGCGATATGTTCGCAAGGGTATTCCTAGTAAGTATTTATTTTTATATAATATTACTTACTCATCTTGTAGATATGTTATGTCCTACAATAATAATAATATTCTTAGACAATTCACACAGCACCATCTAGTACCAAGTAAGGCAGAGCTGGTGTTATGGGTACTAGACAACTTATATAAATACATACATAGACCCACACTAATACAAACAATCATACTTATTAATAAAAATATGTGTACTGTGCGAGAAATCGAACCCACAACCATCGAAAGTAGAATACTGTACCCAACCACTAGACCACAGAGGCTGTCTGCCTATATGATGCTATTGCTGATTTTTAACCTACAATATCTACATGCAAAATTATCAATTGATAACTGCTCCTAGCAAATAATTATCTACAGTGCTAGTAAGTACTTAGATCTTAGTTTCTACCTCAAAGTTGATATATCTTGTCTTTTCTATTCTATTTTTCTATTCTATTCTATTCTATTCTATTATTTATATAATTAAATTATTATAAACTAAGTCGCTCAGACAACTAAATAATTGGCCTTTTTATGAATACAGCATTTTTATTATATAATAATGTTAATATAATATAATAATATAATGCCTACAGTTTCACCCGCATATATAATTTATAGCCTACATGTTATTCTGATGTATAAGTTATATTACTGTAAAGTTTCATCAAAATCCACTCCGTAGTTTTTGCATGAAACAGTAACAAACATCCATCCATACTCACAAACTTTTGCATTTATAATATTAATAATATTAAGATACATAATATACATAGTAAACACCCAGACCTATACAAACAGCCATACTCATGAATACAAATGTTTCTATTGTGCAAGGAATTGAATCTGTGACTATTGGAAAGCAACTGATAAACCATAAATGCTATAAAATATTTTTATTTAATAACTTTGAGAAGACTTTAAAATATGGTTACTATATATCATTGTAATATAATGTAAACACTTTTTAGGTGGACATCGCCCATCAATATGGATGGCTATATCAGAAGCACAAAAAATGAAAGATGTTTCCCCCGATTTATATCATAAAATATTAAATAGTCCTTTTGAGAAGGAGCTAGTGGACCTTGTGAAGACTGACCTGCCCCGCACTTTTCCCGACAACATATATTTCACAAAGGAGGCCAATCACCAATCACATCTGTTTAATATCCTCATAGCATATGCACACAGTAACAGGGTGGTGGGCTATTGCCAAGGCCTAAATTATATTGCTGGTAACTATCAAATATTTTTTTAATATTTTGGAATATAGTGTTTTTCTCCAAATTAAGTATGCATAGTATTACTTTTATGAAAGAGTATATTAGGAATGAGAACTAATGCTTTACTAGGAATATACCCTATCAACGCCACCTCCATGTGGTTCTTCCTAGAAACCATCAGACTTAATATGGGCAAACTGACCTAACTTCATGCTCAACTTAACATTCTCCCCTGGTGCTCAGCATAAATTGTTTGGCTGACAAGTTTATAATATATAATCTTCCATTAAAATGTTTCATTTAGATGTTATAGTTTTGATGAAATACAGAAACAAAGAACTGTGTCTCAGATATTAATATTCTATTAAAATCTTCCATTGAAATATTTAATTCAGATGAAACACATAGACATAGAATTACTTATGTGTCTGATCTAGCAGTACTTAAATAGTATAGTAGATATCCCTAATAGAATAACCAATTATTAGCAATTTTATATTTTATATATATATAAAAATACTCATTTATAATTTGAAATTTGAATAAACATTATTTGAATGTAATCTATTTTGTTATTATATTTATCTGTTATGACTCATGATACCAACAATGGTATACAGTAGAGTCAACATATATAATATCATTGATACCTCATACTTAATTTGACACTAATATCTATATATCTGTGATGTATACTGACTCAAGACACAAATTTTGTAACTGTATATGATGTGTCATATTTATCATGGCTATTCACCTGATTAATCTATATTGAGTAATTTAATTGTTGTTGCAAAGTTATCCAGGTGGATAACTTTGCATAAAATCACTCTATGGATGAGAGCACACTAACTTTATTATTAACTAGCTGCACCCGCGACTTCGTCCGCGTGAAATATAACTTTATTTTTCTAAAATAAAAGTAGCCTAAGTTACTCCTTATTACATCAGCTACCTGCCAATCCCGTCAAAATAGGTCCAGCCATTTCAGAGATTAGACAGAACAAACAGACAGACAGACAGACAAAAATTGTAAAAAATGTTATTTTGGTGTATGTACCGTATTTATATGTGTGTATAGATGGCAAATTAAGATTATATGATTGTTTTTTGTATTTTTAGGCCTACTTTTTTTAGCAACAAAAAATGAAGAAACCTCATTTTGGTTACTCAAAGTTCTGGTGGAGAAGATTCTTCCAGACTACTACACCAAAACAATGGATGGTCTCATTGTTGACATTGAAGTGTTATCAGAACTAGTCAAATCTAAAGTACCCGATGTACATCAACATGTGATAAATCTGGGTAAGGGTACCAATGACACAATCCTTTTTTTTTAATTCATCAGTGTTGACAACTCCCCATAGATCAGTATGTGAGATGACTAAACCGCCATCATATCCTGGAGCTGGATGACCAGCAGTAGCTCTAAGCTGCAGATGAGTAGATGCTTCCAATAGGAAGCCACTGTCAGCATCACAGTACATATGTGCTCAAAGTCTTAAGACTGATCGCAAATATGATCAGAGAAAAAATTATCAGTGTTAATGCCTAAAACATATTCAGAACCTTCAAAGTGGATGTATTTACTTAGAAGTTTTTATTCTAAGTAAATTCATCCATTTATCAATTTCGATATCAATATGTATCCTTTAAGTATTCTTGACTTAGCATCTGTTGATCTTTATAATTATAGTTGCCTGGAATAATTTTATTATTCTCACAGTACCTTAAACCAAAACCATACTTTTTCTATCATCATATTTCATATGAATGTTTACAGTACAATTGTTAGTTACTGCTTGATATCTGAAAAGATTATGTCACATTTTATGAAACACTGGGTCAGACTTGAGCAGAGCTTCAGCTGTAAATCTAGTAAATCCTCATTATAACTAACCCTGTATAGATTCTAATGAATGTCAACTATTATTTGCAGGTCTCCCCTGGGCAGTAATAACCACCAAGTGGTTTGTATGCCTGTTTGCAGAAGTCTTACCTATAGAGACAGTTCTCAGGATTTGGGACTGCCTTTTTTACGAGGGCTCCAAAATTCTATTCAGAGTTTGTTTGACACTAATAAAGTCGAACCAAGCAACTATATTGGCCTGCAATGACTTCACAACACTTGCGGAATGTTTTAAGGCTATTGTGAAAAATACCAGTGCGTTACATTGTCACGAATTTATGCAGGTATGTAAATTATGAAATGTCACCACCAACAGTCCAATACTAGCCTGTCACCCGCAACTTTATATGAATTGGTTTCATGTGTAATCATACTGTTGAGTATTATCTCTACTAATATTATAAAGAGGTAAATTTTGAGAGGTTATAGGGATATCTCTGGATGTACTGAACCGATTTTTTTTTTACTAATAGGGACCTACATTACTTATGGTATCATAGGTATATATTAACTTTTATATTAGTCACGAAAAGAAGTTTTATATATTAAAACAAGAAATAAAGATTATATATAATAAAACAATTTTAATCCCTAGTTTATTTCATATTTATTAGTCATATTATCAACAATTATGAATGCTTATTAATAAATTATTATTTTATGAATATTTTTTTTTATGAATGAAATAATAATTTTTATGAATTAAAATTTTTCGTATTAATATATAGTCTATGACACATAAATAACATAGCTTTATAAGGCCATACAAATAAGGCATAAATTACGAACAATATCACAAATACAAGACTTGGAACAGTTCTAATTAAATTAGTGGTGGTGTCAAAAGGTCAAGTCAGGATTCAGACATACTAATAATTGATAGTTAATTTCAATAATAACTAGCTGTAACCTATACGCGTAAGAACATCACATGTAGGCGTGTAATTGACCATTTTTTTATATTAATGAATGTGGAAATTTAACCCTGCCTGCGTTAACAGTATACACAGAATGATAAGACGAGCTGTCAATTACTCTATCAAGAAAAAGAAGTTTTTTTATTTATAGTATATGTATAGCTTAGTAAAGCTACCCGCGCCGTCTTCGCACGGTTGGACATATATTGTACATTAAACCTTCTTCTAAAATCAGTCTTATCTATTGCTAAAAACAGCGTTAAAATCTGTTGCGTAATTTAGAAGATCTAAGCGTACAGAAAGCGATAACGTTTTCATTTTATACTATGTAAAGATAAAGGGTAAAATATTAAAGTTAAAAATATATAAATTCTGTTTTGCAGTCAATTTTCAAAGTACCTGGAACACTATCAAACACGACAATAGTCAAACTGAGAGCCCGCTTTGCCAAACAACGCCGGGAACAGCAGCAGAAGGAGCCGCGATGAATTAATCTACAGTAAAATCCAAGGAAGATTTGATTGATCTCATTCTTGTTGGAACAAGAAAATTAATAAAACAAGAAACAACCAAATTGTTATTTTGTTAACAATTATTTATACTTATTATATATATCATATGCTAAAATGAAGAAGTGACTATGTAACTTATGTAGCACAACAGAATCATTTAACTTTGAATAGTGTTAGGGTCTCAACTAGAAACATTGAGGGTGACATAGTAATAACAGTGTAATTCAATAATTTATTTGATGTTGTGCAATAAATGTTTGTAATGTATTGTATTTCAGTAGTGTACTTGTAATACAAGCTCAATCCAATTCCAACAGTAGCATGTGTTAGTATTAATCTCAAACATGTGTATCTTATAGTAAATTCTTAAAAGAACTTATAATTAAATATTTCTTGCTTGTGTGTACTGATGCACAAATAAGTATTCTAAATTTTAAAATATTTTATTATAATTTATTTATTACGATCAACAGTTACATAACGTATAATACAGGAGAAACAAATATGGAAGACTGCCATAAAAAGAGCTATGCCATCATAAAATGATATTAAAACGGAACAATAAGTAATATAATTGATTAGAATTTTAAGAATTTTCGAAATAAAAAGTTTATATAAAACCCTTACATTGCCAGTGAAAAAATGAAATGATTCACTACCTCTTCTCACCCGAGATATCAAAAAACAAATATTCTGGTGCAATTAAGAGTATATTTATGTAATAAAATGCGGGAAATCCCTCTCTTCTTTGGAGACACCGGCCGCCATCCGGACGATAACTAATTGTTATAATGATTCCATATATGATTAGGAAATATAACATTGTGTCACACGTCATAGCCTTATCTTAATTTTCTGGCTAATCAATATGATACTCTGACACTATTCATATTTTATTATATTTTGCATTTGGTATGAAAAGTGCCTAAAGTATATAATTTGAGGTACTATGCATAGAAAATTTACACATTTGCAAAAGATCACGTGAAACTTACTTGAAACGTTTGCTTTGTTGAACCGACCTGGCCTAGTTCTATAGGTCTCGTTATTAAGTGAATTTTCATTAGAGGTAAATAGAGCAAATACTATTACGTACTGTTGTGCTTGTGCTCTTGACTACACGCCCGTGGTTTTGTGATTTCTGCTGCATTGAAGGCATGTTTCATTTTTCTATATTTTAATATAGTATTATTAAGTACCAAGTATATAAAGAACTGACTTGATGATATTATGCACCAGAAATTATCAAAAAATGTAAAGTGAATAATTTGATATAACTGAATAATGCATTTTTTATTATTATAATCGTAACTTATGGGAAAGTCAAGAAATGACAGGATTGAAAGAGTTGAATTGAGTAATTTGATTAAAGCTTATAATAATAAATATATAATTAAATTTTAGTACATATATAAAAACATATCCTTGATAAAATAAGCTGTATTGATAATTTTATAATAAAGGACGACAGAGATAAGACTTACAACGGTTTTTTAACAATTGAGAGTTTATGTGCTTTTGGTATACTGAATGATAATGAAATATTTGCCTCAGTTAATGGTATAGGTATAAAATAAATGTCGCTTAATATTGAGCAGCTATTTGACAGTGTCGGTTACCATTGCTGCAACTTTATCTTGTAACTGTTAAATAGTTACATATATAACTACTACTAACTACTTATATAACCACATATTAGTCCATTTAAATGTTATGGAATAAAACTGCAGGTCACTTAACCACGAAGAAAAGCAAAGATTTCTAAGAATACATCAAGTGGAGTTCATCTGTAAGGTATATGGCTAGCAAAAGGTGTGAATAATGTCTATTTATTATTAACGCATCTCCCTCGATGCCTTGAACTTATGCATTAGTATCACTACATTCTTAGTAGTCTACTATAGTTGATGTACATAATGATTGATGCTGTGCATTTTTTTTGTAAGTATTTTGTTTTGTAATTTATTTTGTATAGTAGGTTGGCATATTTTTATTTTCATACGATACATATTGTATTTTACGTTATATCATTTTAAGCAATTACTATTTTGTATATCATAATAAAATTGAGTGTACCTATAAGTGTAGGTACTAAATTCTCAACAATGTAATCATTTTTATATTATATGCCATTTAAGACTTGTTAGGCAAATAGATATATTGTGATGTTACAATTTTGTTTTGGTTTTCATGTGAAAAGTGTATAAAAACAAGACTTTCTTTGTATTATTTATTTACGTAATAAGCTTGTCCAAATCTAACAAAAAGATACCACAAATGTATCTACTAGCTTTTTTTAATATTTCATACACTGAATATGCTCAATGTAATAATGTTCATAGATGTAGAATCCGTAAAATGTATAAATGTTTATGAAACATATGGATTAGAATTAATACCTACTCTTGATATTACATTTTTTCGAGAATTTTCTGTCTAAATATATCAAATTGTATTAGGTATACAACTTTTATAAGACCTTACAAGTAGTTTGTAAAAACAGACATAACGACATATTAGTGTAACCTATAGAAAAATCTGTATATATTTTAGGTGTAGAACTGTAGACTCAATAAGATTTAGGATTTGATCACCATTAGAGAAGGTCGTCGCCAAGTTTCTGCACTGATATTACATACAACATTTGTTATCTCACACATGCTAATTGTAGCGGAATTAAACAAAATCATTTAAATAATTTTAGTAGTGAAATTGATTTCTGCAAAATAACACATTACTAGAATAATACAAAGTTATATAGTTTTCTTACTACCTTATGATATATTGTAATGCTATTGAAGACTTTTTGGAAACATATTCTTGTAAGATAACTTTTGATCAAAGTTTCCCATTGTGTAAATGTGTGTTGATGATGGTCTACTATGTTGTTACTGTCTGTATCTGGATTCAATGTTGTAATTATTGCCATAATTGAAAAAAGTAAAGTTTGGATGTTCATTGTAAATGAATAGATTATCAAGGTGTTGACATGAATTTTATTTATCACTTTTGGATTTCATTTTATTAATATTAACAATACATAACAGAGTGACATAGGTTCACATTGACTTGATCAAGTCCCTACTATTAGAAATATTTTCATAGCATGTAATAACAATATATAAATATTAATCATGTAGTTAAAGACTGTCATTATTAAACTATAGTGGTTAATTGGATTCTACATGAGGGTGCAAGGCAAATAATAGACATTTAAAAACCATACCAAAACACTGAACATACCAAAAGCCAGAAGTTTAAAATGACTTTTTTAAACTTCTGGCTTTCAAAAGTACTTTTTATTTTGACATATTTTACATTTTTATAAAACAACTTATTACTACAAATGTTCTAACTAAGGTATTTCTGGAAAATGAACTAATATCAGTAATAATGTCCTTGACATTGCATTTCTTCTTGGATTGAAGGTAACCCACAAACTACCACTTACATAATAACAATGATATACCAGTCTATTATGTAACTATGATTTACCACTTTCAAGGACATCTTTAGCTTCATTAATTTTTGCAGCAATAAGAGGTGATCCTCCTCTGTCTGGGTGATTCAGTAACATGACCCGTCTGTGTGCATCCCTTATCTGAAAAGTAATTTAATATAAAGTTGAATATTACTAGATTTGTTTTGCCTCAATCAATATGATTTAGATTAGATTTATTTTGATAATAAAAACTCAATACAATGACTGACATTTTAGAATCAACACACATTTTTATTAACACTCATTTTACATGTTCTGACTCAGCCTATGGTCTGTTATTAAGGTGGTAATATTCTTTGACAAAAACTATTTCTTAAATAAATTATTTACTTAAATTTTAGTATTATAATTAAATTTTATAATGATCCTTATTATAAATCTTTTCAAAATTATCAACTTACCAAATAAATAGAAAGTAAATTCAAAAAATATCAATTACCAAGGTAGACTTTGTTTAAAGTTATGTCTCAGTTTGATTTGTAAGCTATTCATGTTGTATGAGTTAGATGTTTGATGATGAAGAACTTATAGAGTAAAGAGGCATGACATCTTAGTTCCCAGAATAAGTAATCACAACATATTATCTGCTGCTGTACAGCAGCAGACACTTCATTAGTTCCTTTGACATGTTCATAGAAACAATAATATTACAATACCTTTGCTTTACCAGCAGTGGGGCTGACTCCCAATATTAATGCCGCTTCTCTTTTCGTCATTTTAGGTTCAAATCCACCTTTGTAATATTTAGAATTAGCCAATGTTTCGCTGTCGAACCTAGGCAAATTCTTCATAGCTTCAGAAAATTTTACTGAAGCATTAGGGATTTGTCTAAGTACATAGCGGCCTGCAAAACCAACTGCAGCCATTCCTAAACCTGCTACAATAATTGTACTGGCCTATTAACAAGAAAAAGCAATTTTTTTTCAGTCTTTCATTGGTGTTATAGTTATAACAATATATAATTATAGGTTAGGTTATAGTTACCATATTTTTTTATTTATTTGGACTGTGCTAGAAACAACTGTAAGTTATTATGAAATTATTTTTAATACATTTTGGAACTTTTCTCCAATAAATTATTACAATATATTGAAAAAAATATATATTACATTACAAAAACGACATTTCAGAAAGACAAAACACAGATTATCTAAACAACTACTACAGATCATACAACTATAATGTCAAATTTTATTAACAGACTGACGATCTTAAGCATGTTTCCTCTATCTATGCACATGCATCTGTAACAATATATTATAATAAGTACTATTTTAAAATATTAATTTTTACATATTCTTCTGAGTTATAACGATTAATTATAGATTTTAAATCTATAAAATCCCACTGCGTCCATTTTGCAGGGTCCCATTACCACTGTAACCGTAATTGATGAACTCAGATTTTTTTATAATTAATACTGGCAACCCGATGAAATATAATTGACCAATCATTTATAAATTTAAGAAAAAAATATGCCTTTTCGAATAGCTTCAACATGGCAGGAGATCAGGCGCAATTTTATCAGTTATTAAATACCATATTATCCCCGGAAAACGACATTAGATCCCAAGCAGAAGTAAGTACCCATGATACATTATCATATAATTACATTTTTAAACAATCACTTTTTGGCTTAAATAACATGAATATGATCTATCAGTGGCCTCGTGTGAAAACGTGGTCATGGAGGATCCAATTTGTAATCATACAAGTAGGAGCGGTAGCTCAACTTTGAATATCTAATTTACTGTTAGTTAGACTGTTATAAAAATTGCGTGTTTATTTTTGCCTCTCTTATTCCTAAGTAATAAAACTATTTTATTAGTCATTGTTAACATACATATTAGGTACCCAACCCCGTGTGCCGGAAAAAATCCGTTGATATTTTTGAGTTTTATAAAGCAATTACATTTTTATTTTATTCGTAATCCCTAAAAGATCAAAATGTATAGTATTTTTCGAAGACATAATTATATCCCTAAGAAACCCTTAAACAAAGAAAGAAATATGTTAAATGGTAATAGCGGCGAGGCAAGAACCCATAAGTTCATTTTTCAACCATCAATATTAAAATATTCCTTAATACTATCTTCTTTTATGAGAATGTGTTAATTTCAAAACTAAGGGAGACAAAAAATAATATATATTGTATAGCTGCTCTAAACAACCTAGTTATTTTAGCCCCAAATTTAAGTTTGTTCATTCAACTTGATATAATCAAGTAGAATGTACAAAAGATCATCTTAGTAACAACCAACATTGCCTTGGAATTATTGTACTAAAATGTAAGATTTGTCTATCTGTGTTCTTATAATTTTCACTGTTTTAACATTTTGTTTTGTTTTATAATAATTTTGAAATGCTAGATGTTAAATGTTGTGAAATAGGATCAATACAAACAGTTGTTTAAAGTATTTGAAGGATTATTTAAAGAGATAATTGTTTAAAAAATGTCCATTTCTTTGAACAGTTCTCACAGAATAAACAGTGAAAGTTGGGTTCCGTAATAGACATATCTATATACACTAATAAAATGTACTAATTAATAGTATTTGGAAGATATATGAGAAAAAAAAATTAGAGTAGGAGGATGGGCTTTATCACAATATTAGCACCTAAAACGATAATTTTTTGAAATTTGGTCTGTGAAAAATTGAAATACTGTAATTCTCAAAACTTACACAATATTATTTCTCAAGTCATAAACTGTTGTTGTTTCAAATAACATGTGTAAAAAATCAGTGAGTCTGCAATAAACATGTCATAGGCAGCTTTTATATGCCAGTATAGGATGTGGTCTTTATCAAATGCTGAATACTGCAATTAAACATCACATGTGGCATATGAAAGTTACAGATGGCTCTGATGGGGAATAGATATCTATAAATATTTTGTAATGTACAAGGGACATGTGCGGGGTAATAAACCTTATAAAAATAATAATATATTTGATGAATAAAGTTTTATTTATTTTTTTCATATCCGTCGTGTAATGTAGGATCATCATGTAATTCTCATAATCATAATGCAATGAAGGTATAAAGGTCAAATACATGTTTGGAAAATTATAGTTATGTTTTCTAAGTTTTATTGTAAAAAATGTATGTACCTAACATACATTATTCCTGTTTCTAGTCTTGCTTTTTAAAAAATGTATCTGATCAAGTTTTATCAAAATAGAACCTTGTAATGTCTATTTACTGTGTCGGCTATCGCTAGAACGATGTTCAAAAGTGACCATTTACGTTATGACCGGCGTACAGGCGTCATAAGCGATGTGACCTCAATATTGGATGCGGCCGACAGCATAGAATGGAGATGAGAAGATTAATGTAATAACGACAGCTAGTGCGTCAAGTTCGATATTAGTATTGAATGGATGGGTACTTCTGCTCAATGCTATGCTAGTCTATTATAGAAGAATATGTTGAGATATAACTTATTACAGTAAGAGAGCGTAACCTGACACTCACCCTCTAAAATTTGTATTGCTTATTCAAATACGGCTGCAATTTGTGATAGTAAAAAAAAAGTTTCATTAACTTGTATCTTCCTTAAACTTGTCGCAGTTATTCTCATTTGTCTGTATGTAATAGATAAAAATTCCAAAATATGTTTACTAGTTATTATTGTACAATTTTAGGAAGCGTACAACAACATTCCAACAGAGACAAAAGTAGTATTTTTGGTGGGTGCTATCCAAAATGGAGAACTTGGTGAGGACATCAGACAAACAGCGGCAGTTTTCCTGCGGCGACTATTTAGCACAGACTTTTTCGAGTTCTTTCCAAAATTGCCATTCGAACAACAGACAATGCTCAGAGAACAGCTGCTCATCACATTACAAATGGAGGTCACACAACAACTACGGCGTAAGGTTGGTCACTTTTAAGTATACTAAATTAATTTGAAACTGCTTATATATTAAGTTACCAGAGAAAAAATAAAAAAATGCGTCTGCGTGGGTACTGAAGCTTGCTTGTAAAGTATATAATATCTACCAGTTTTCTCCAATGTAGCCGTGTAAGATTTATATTTAAATTTCATAGATTATTTACCTATTTATATGAAAATAGTATATCTAATGTAGATATCATAAGTTTGTGTAACCTTTGAGATGCTCAATTGTTATTGGTGCAAGGAATTGTATCATTGCCTTGAGAGATCATTTGATACGAATGGAATCAATAAATTGAAAATTAGACGCTCTACAGAACACTATTTAGATCTGTGTAATGACCTTGCAACAGTTATCACTTGTAAATTTATTGTTCTAGAGCTACTATATATAAAACATCTCTACATTTCGCTGTTTTCATATCTGTTTTTACATTTTGTTAATAACCTCTAGGTCATGTCCTAAGAGATGTTAAATATATTGTCTTAAAAACAGTTTCGACATGAGAAATACTTAATACTTTATCGATTGCAAATATTACACACAAATTAAGTATTATTTTGTAAGTGAATATAGAAATAAACTGATTAGAACATAATGTAAGTGCATTTACGAGTTTACTCGTCAAGCAAAATGTTAATTATGTAATAATAAAATTACTCAGGATACAGCTTACACTTACTTATTTGGTTTTAAATATAGAGAGCTTTTACTGTTAGTTCAAAGTACTTAGAAAATACCGGGACCAATACAAACATTCATATTCATGAATAGATATGTTTGCATTGTATGTGAAATCAAACCCACGGCATCAGAGGTAAGGCGATGTGCTAAACCACTACACCACTGAGGCCGTCAATCTTAGTTTATTAATCTAATTGGAGTATCTATCCTATACTATGTTCATGAATCATAAGTTATGACTAAGCTGTGTGAAGTTTTATTAAGTTTTCGGCGGAAATAATGAAATGAAATGATGATGATGAGAAAATGAAATGTTATTAGCAATGACTTGATTATTTACAAAACAAGTAGACTAAGGAAATAGCACTTTCCAAACTAAAACTCTGTTATTGCCCATATGTGTATTTTTCCACAGCAAAGGAACTACTAATACATGAATAAGCAGCATAGATTTCAGCAATCTATATATATATATATAATGTATAATGTTAATGTTAGAGGCTGTAAATGTAATGCCTGTAATGCTAGAGGTAACGAAATTTTGGTAAAAGAGGTAAAACAAATATTAACCGCACAATAAATTACAGATTTGCGATGTAGTGTCAGAACTCGCAAGAAACCACATTGATGATGACGGCGTCAACCAGTGGCCAGAATTTCTTCAATTTATGTTTAACTGTGCAAACTCCCAAGATCCTAATATTAAAGAGGCTGGCATTCGCATGTTCACGTAAGAGATATTTTTACTTTATTATGATTGTTACTGTAATTTTTCATTATTTATGATTACGCTGGTGGGGCACCTGTGGAGGATGATAGAATGAACTTGAGGTCAGGTTAGTTAGCCCATCATGGTAAGTTCACCAGAAATTTATCACGATTAGATCCATGGGCGTTAGCCTGCCTTGGTATGATGCTAGCAATGAGGTCATCAGTACACAATACTAACAATTTCCTTACCCCAGTGTTAAATATTTTAAATTATAATCCTGAGCATTTCACCGGAATCATTATTTTATCCCTTATCAAGTAATGATTATTTGTCTTCCTTAGGTCAGTACCAGGAGTTTTTGGAAATCTACAAAATGAGAATTTGGATGTTATAAAACGTATGCTCCTCTCAGCTCTGGAGCCCACAGAATCTGAAGCACTCCGCATACAGGCAGTAAAGGCAGTTGGTGCTTTTATACTGCTCCATGAAAAGGAACCTGGTATTCAAAAACATTTCAGCGATTTACTTCTGCCTTTAATGCAGGCAAGTAAACATTTTTTATTCTATTTTTGTACTGAAGGTAAATATATTTATTTGCACATAAACTCCTACATGCACATGTATCATAATGACGTGTGTTATTGCCATAGTGTGCAACAGCAAATAGAGAATTTCGCTAACACCAATTTATGAAATAAATTGGAGTTTGATAGTACCTCTCAATACATTTATTTTTTAGATAAAAATAGTGCTAACTATTTTTTACAATAACTAGATGTTACCTAACATGTTGTTTTTTTTTAATGATAGGTAGTGGCCCGTACAATTGAACAGGGAGATGATGACTCTGCATTAAAGGTGCTCATTGAACTTGCAGAGACTGCTCCAAAATTCTTACGAACTCAGTTAGAGACCATATTCCAAGTCTGTATTAAGGTAACTAATTTGATTTTATGTTTTTATATTAAACAAAGTATGAGAAAATTACAGGTCCTTACATTCAGTACTAAAGGCAATTTTACTATGTTACTGAACTAAAAAAAACCATTTACACTTTCTAGAAGAAGGTATCTACATTTGCAGTAATTGAGAAATAATCAAAGCCATCTTCAACAGGCTTTATAAAGTATTTTTTTTACAATTTCTCATTCTTATGAATTCCAATCGACGCTATTGGTTACTATACACCCTTTTTGAACAGGAGAGTTACGTAACATTGAAATACGCCAATCGAAACGGGAGTCGTATTATAGCAATCTCAGGGTTGACGGAATCTGTAACCACATTCATAAGTGTTTCTTAAATTTAAAAGGTTTTCTGTCCCATATCGTACTGACTTGTATAAATTAAAATCTATTTCAGTGCGAGACCAACTTGCGGTCTTTATGTTTTTAACGTACATTTCTTTTGTTTAGAGATTTTATCTCTGGCAATACATATAACATTATCTTCTTGTATCGCTCTAACTACGTTTAGTTTCCGCACTGAATCAGAACTAATTGCCAAAAAAAATCTGTTTATAATCAGACTTAAAAATTGACATAACTGTAATTGACAGTAATTTTGAAACTCTAGTTATTATAGTTTGGTTGATGTTATCATTGACATTTAAACAATTTTATAGGAATTTCCTTATAGCTGCTATGCGTTTGTATGACATGACAAATGTTACTGTACTAGTTTTCATAGCTTTATTATTTTATGAACTTTTGTAGAAATTCATGTGGTAAAACTTCACGTTTACCAATTCTTATAACATGAAATTCTAAAGGATACAAAAAAATGTTGGGCAGTCGGAGGTATTTCAAAATATGGATATACAGAGTTGAAGTCGTACTGATAAACCGTTGTCTAGCATGGGGACCAGACTCCACTTCGTTCACAATAATAATAACAACTTAATTGCTGTAGAATAAAAAATATGTAGTAATCAATAAAAACATTACTAAGGGGAGTTTACAACATTAGGTAGTAACAACCTGTACCCGGAAACTACATAACTTCAAAAATACACCTTGTACCTTGGAATCTTACTAATATTATTTATAAACGCGAAAGTTTTTGAGTACGGATTGATGGATGTATGTTACTGTTTCACGCAAAAACTACTAGACGGATTTTGATGAAACTTTATAGTAATATAGCTTATAAATCAGAATAACACATAAGTTATATTTTAAAATATTATATTAGATATTACGTAAATCTACCCTAAAATATTGATAATTGTTAAGTAATTGTGATGCAGACGAAGTTGCGCGGGTGGTCTAATTTATTCTATAACCAGTTGCCATTTTGTAATGTAGGTAGTGGGCGATCACAATGCTGATGATAATTGGCGACAATTGGCATTGGAAGCTATGGTGACACTATGCGAGACTGCACCGGCGATGGTCCGCAAACAAGTGCCCGACGGTATTCGCATGCTGACACCACTCGTACTTGAAATGATGTGCGAATTAGAAGACGAAGACGATTGGGCATTGCAAGATGACGTCGCTGATGACGATAATGAAGAGTAAGTTAATTGAAGGCATATTTTAGTAGTCCATTTGATAGTAGGCACAAAGTTTCTGGTATTTAAATATAACTTTTTGCAATAAAGTTCTTATTTTTATTAAGTTTTAACCAACATGATTGAATAAAATTATTATTATTGGCAGACTGATAGAACTATGTCTTATACAATTGAAACCAGATTCAGTGTCTATTTAATTTAATATTTTTTAATTGTTCATAAGCACTTGCTTAATTGAAATCTTTAATTGCTCAAAACAATGTATTCTATTAATAAAATAATTCGTCTGACAACAAAATAATATTGATTGATAAAAATGATTCCTTTGTTAAAGTTATCACTTTATTTATATATGAGTTTATCACTACAGAGTAAGTTATAAAGGCAAATAATTTTTTAGGCAAGTTTTAGGTATAATTTACTGTATTTTTTGTTAAATATATATGAAACTGTGTACCCATCTATGCTAATAGTAACAACCCTTACTAACGAGTGTTTGTTAGAAAGGGTTCATGTATAAATTATGCCCTCTTTGTCCTTACATTGTCCATACTTCCTCTCGTCTATTTTTTTTAGACACCTAGAAATAAGTGAGTTGAATGATCAACCACGCGGGAACTATGATAACAGGATTAAACCTTGTTTTTTCTGTAAGATCCAATTATACTGGTTGCTTTCTATATAATGCAACTGAAATGAATCTTACTATAGTAAATGACGAGATAATTAGCATTCTATGTTTTATTACATTTGGATGTCAGTCCCTCGGAAACATTCCTAATTAGAATTATGTAACTAATGAATCCATTTACCATATTTAGTGTGAAATTTGATTTCATCTTTGTAAGCTGAAGCATCTTCATCTTTGAAGGAAGCTTATATTTAGTTCCCAAGGTAAGAAGACCTTGTGTTATGGGTACTAGACAACTGATATAAATGTTTAGATTTATATTTCTTGGTAAATACATACATAAGATACATAGAAAACACCCAGACTGATACAATCATACTTATGAACACAAATGTTTTTACTGTGTGAGGTATCATATTCGCGACCATTGGAAGTATATAGCTTTACGTTTACACTAGATTACCGAAGCCATAAATTACATTATGAAGTTACATTTGAACACTTGGATCTTGCGCCGCTGTATATATTATAGTACAAAAATAAATCAACTATATGTTTGTTACAGTAACTATGTAGCTGCAGAGTCTGCCCTCGATCGTATGTGCTGCGGTCTTAGTGGCAAGATAATGCTGAACTTAATTGTGGGTCAAGTGCCCACTATGTTAAGCTCTGAGGACTGGAGAAGACGACATGCAGCACTTATGGCTGTCTCCTCTGCAGGCGAGGGTTGCCACAAGCAGATGGAACAAGTACTGGATCAAGTGGTTACAGCTGTACTCACTTATCTTACTGACCCTGTAAGTGTATTATTAAAAAAAAATTTACATAATACAAATAAATCCAGTGTGATAGGGGAAGTACGAACCACTGTCTCTCAGATTAGTTTGGATTGTTATTGGTGTTTCCATCACCCAAAAGTAATTTGAACTTATGTCTCCCATCTCCGGACCTTTTGTTTAAGTCAGGTAGTAAATGACTGTGTTCTTCTGATGATTGATTCTGTGTTCTCTTAACATTACTAAAATAAATTTATTTTTTGTCTTAGCATCCTCGTGTCCGTTATGCAGCATGTAACGCAATAGGACAAATGTCGACTGATTTTGCACCTGTATTTGAGAAGAAGTTTCATGATAAAGTGGTGCCTGGTCTCTTATTGGTACTCGATGACAATGCAAATCCGCGTGTGCAGGTACACTCCAAATCTATCTTAATAATAAAGAAGTGTGATGTGATTAGATTTCATACAAATTTTGCAGTATATTGTCCAATAATACTACATGTATTTGTTGCCATCTTATGTGATTATGGTTTTAATTTGTTATTATTATAAACTGTGTTATGGAATTTAACCAATTTTAAATTGTAATATGTCCTAATTCTAATTTATACTACTTTTCAAGGCACATGCGGCTGCTGCTTTGGTTAACTTCAGTGAAGACTGTCCAAAACCCATTTTGACACCATATTTAGATGCGCTAATGAGCAAACTAGAGGAAATATTAACAGCTAAATTTAAAGAGGTAACAGATTTCATCTGCAATTATATTACTACTTAAATTATTAGTTACTGTTATTCCTATGTCTTTTTTCTTTATTTTCTTCTTTCTTCAGTGTGTTTTAATATTTTATATCCAATGTTCGTTAGTGATACAGTCCTTATTTATGGATGCATCACTTCCATAGCATTGGAAGAGTAAATGTAACGTTTGCTCCCTTTCTCTTTATTTGATAGAAAGTCAGGGATCTCATGTTACATACATATATCTTGAAACAAAATTTAAAAAAAAATATATATTTTTGATGATTTTTTAACATGAAAATATTTTAAGGACCTTACGGTATAATACTTTTTTTTTACAGCTCGTAGAACGTGGCACCAAACTGGTGCTAGAACAAATAGTAACAACGATTGCGTCTGTTGCCGACACCGTTGAAAAAGATTTCATTCAATACTACGACAGATTGATGCCTTGTCTTAAATATATAATAGCCAATGCAACAACCCAAGAACTTAAAATGCTCCGTGGCAAAACAATTGAATGTGTCAGTCTTATTGGTGAGGAAATTAATTGAATGTATGCTCTATAAATGTTAATAATTTTTATGATATAAGTTAAAAATATCAGTGATTTTACCTAAAGTGTTACATAGCACCTGTATTAAGTTCTATGGGAATTTTTAGGTCTTGCTGTTGGTGAAGAGAAATTTATGGCTGACGCATCTGAAGTCATGGATTTGCTTCTTAAAACACATACAGAGGGTGACCAACTGCCTGCTGATGACCCACAAACATCGTATCTTATCTCCGCCTGGTCGCGCATTTGTAGAATCATGGGTAAGATAATGACAAATATGATTTTACCTTTAAATTCATAACTGAACATACAATTATTCACAAGTCAAAACCATTAATATAATATACATTTAAAAATAATAGTCTTATTTAAAAAAAGTAAACCTTTGTAACACAGTGTATCTGTCGGGTATCTGGCTATATTTATTTTTTAGGAAATTTCATGATATACTATTGCTATTATTATAATAATGAATATTAGGGTTTCTATTATTGCTTTTAGTAATAGCGTGTCACAACAAAATAACTTTTACAACTTAATTTTCTTTTATGAAATATTTGATATCATAAGTGTCTCAAATGACCAAAGTAACATTAATTGTATTCCTTATTTCATACACAGGCAAAAAATTCGCCCAATATCTACCTATGGTTATGGAGCCAGTAATGCGCACTGCTGCGATGAAGCCTGAAGTTGCATTGTTGGATAATGAGGATCTCGAAACTATCGAAGGCGATGTAGATTGGCACTTCGTCACACTAGGCGAGCAACAAAATTTCGGCATAAAAACAGCTGGTATGTAACATGATTTTAAATATTTGTTATATCTTTGTATCATACACAAGTAACATATAGGGTTCAATATACTTTGCATATTACTGTTAGAATTTTATTTGAATTTTAGAACTTCTTAGATTAAAATATATGAATCACTATCCGATTAAAACTGATAATAATTATTTAATAAAATTGTGTACAAACTTCTCGCGAGTTTAACAAACAAAAATATATGGTAAACACAATTACAAACATTTAATTTTCTTACAGGTTTGGAAGACAAAGCTTCAGCGTGTGACATGTTAGTTTGCTATGCTCGAGAGTTGAAAGAAGCTTTCGCTGAATATGCAGAAGATGTAGTTAAGCTCATGGTACCTATGTTAAAGTTCTACTTCCACGACAACGTGCGGACAGCGGCGGCCGAGTCGTTACCATATTTACTTGAATGTGCACGTATTCGCGGCCCACAATATATACAGGGCATGTGGGCCTATATATTACCTGAATTACTCAAAGCCATTGACTCAGAGCCTGAGTTGGAGGTGCAAGTTGAATTACTGAACAGTCTTGCACAGGTATGTAACATTATAATATTTATAAAACCATATATATATAATTAATTATAAAACCTTGTTTTATGTGTAAAGATTATGGTTGCCACTTACTGTCAGTTTGTTTGCATTTCCAATTATATAGAAAACATAATTAAGAGAATTCAATTTAAATTTCTTGCCCCTAACAAAAAATATGATATGAATATTGATAATAGTTTATTAATATACTATGATTTATATTTAAGGTAAATGTAATGATCAAATCTATACAATTTGATAATTTATGCTAATATTTTTAGTGTATTGAACTTCTCGGCACTGGATGTTTGTCTGACGAATCGATGGCGGAAGTGCTGCGTATACTCAACAAACTACTCACAGAACACTTCGAGCGCGCCACTCAACGCAGACAGAAACGTTCCGATGAGGATTATGATGAGGTAATTATAGTTACTTAAAAAATCTTGTCAATCTTTGTGTCAATAGCAGTTATTTTATTATCATAATAGTATATTGATCCCATTTTCCAGAATCTAATTGAAAATTAGTTTTTGCATCACTCATCATACCTTTTGATTTGATTGAAGTTAATCAAACTTGACTCCAACTAAAATCTTGACTTCAAATAACTTGATAGAACTTGAGCATTTAACCATAGTCTACCTATATATTATTAATCTATATAAATAAAATATTTGTGATCATCATGTTTTATAAGCGAAACTAAAGCAAAGTTTTTATAAATTGCAACAGGTGGTTGAAGAGCAGCTAGCTGATGAAGATAACGAGGATGTGTATGGTCTATCGCGCGTCGCGGATGTTCTCCATGCATTAATGTCGGCCTACCGTGAACACTTCTTCCCACACCTTGATAGTTTGCTTCCTCATCTTGTCCATTTGCTAGCTCCTGGACGCCCGTACGCAGATCGCCAGTGGGCATTATGTATTTTCGATGATGTTATTGAATTTGGAGGTAAGTTGTAGCACTCTATTTTATTTCATTCTATTAGGACTTTACTTTTTTTTATTTATGGAAAGAGTGTTACCTATTATGCCTCTATTAATAAAAAAGAAATATGACTGGATTTGAATTAAAACAAGAATGTTGATGACTGATTATTGTTATTTTATTTTTATGTGATGAGTAGGTTAAAGTAGAAGCTTCTAATATATGTAAGTCTCGCTTTACCTTTACACTTTACACAGGCGTATAATGCGCTACAATATCAGAGTTGCCATGAATAATTACTGCTAAAGTTAACATAAATATAGCGTAGCCAACAGCCATTCGAGGGAGTATTTGTGGTATGTGCAGGACCGGCGTGCATCAAGTATCAGAACATCTTCCTGGAGCCGATGCTGGAGGGGCTGCGCACGTACGAGCCGGAGGTGCGGCAGGCGGCGGCGTACGGGTGCGGCGTGCTGGCGCAGTTCGGCGGCGCGCAGTTCGCGGCCGCGTGCGCCCGCGCCGTGCCGCTGCTGGCCGCGCTCATCGCCGAGCCGGAGGCGCGCTCCGTAGAGAACCTCAACGCCACCGAGAACGCCATCTCGGCCGTCACCAAGATCATCAAGTACAACCACACGCAGATCAACAGAGACGAGATTATTAGGCATTGGTGAGTTCGCTTCTGCCTTTTAGCCGTTTAATTGTAGCTAATTGTGCCTGCTGTTTCACCCACGTGAAATTTATAGCCTTAAATGTAAAGACTGTAAAGTTTTATTTGAATACATTCAATAGTTTTTGCATGAAAAAGTAACAACCAACATACATCCATCCATATATCCATACTTACCAACTTCCGCATTTATAATATTAGTAAGATGAATTACATTCCAGTGACCATTCCTTTGATTTTGATTTGATCATTCATTTTCATGCATTTGAAAAATTATCATACTTTTAGAAATAATTATATAGTCTCGTGCACTCGTTTGTCTAGAAGTAATAAGCCCATAACAAGTTTTTTAACTATATAATCTTTATGTGCAATAAAAATAGTACAATTTGGCTACCGATCAGTCCCCTAGTCAATCTTTTCTTTTTGCAGGCTGACTTGGCTTCCCGTGACGGAGGATACAGAGGAGGCGCCACACGTGTACGGGTTGCTGTGCGAACTAGCAGCGAGCGGACACGAAACACTGGCCACGCCCGACGCACCACAACGCGTCATCGCTACGCTTGCTGAGGCATTCCTTCGAGACGCCGTTCCCACAGATAATCCAGTTTTTGCGCAAATGGTCGCACTCGTTAGACAAATACAGGTACAATAAAATGACACAAGCAATTTTTGTTAAGGCGATATATTCGTGGGTTCATTATGTAACGTAATAAGAACTCTTAGCATGTCACCATAGAACACGACTATATTTTAATATATTTATTTAATAAAAAAACAAAATTATTATTATTATTTTTAAGCTATATATTATATGACTTATCAGTCTTCCTGATTAACATTATGAATAGTAAATGTTGCTGTTGTAAGTAAGCTCGGAAATAAAATTATCAGCTTTTTCGCTAAATCTATTTTTTTTATTGACAGAGCAATGCGGAATTATTTGCATCGTGCCTCATGCAGCTGAGCAGCGAACACAAGGAGGCGCTGGAGATAGCGCTGTCCACCTAGAATCGGCCACAGCCGCCGCCACCGTCACCATTATCACTGCAACCATGTCGGCACGCACTCCGTTGCCAGTCACACTCCACTTAACGCGTCTCATAAACTCATCTCTCCCGCAATGACCTCCTATAGCTCGCTACTTCTCTCGTGTGTATCTCATAATAATTATAATGGAGTTTAATAATTTATATATGTTGTTTATTAATCTTTTGTATGGTCGATATATGACTGATACCAGTAAATTATAATGAAATGTAAACGACGGACCATTTTTTTTTCAAGAACTGCTTTCGCGATATCGTTCACAAGAAAATCTGTTGGTCTTATTAAAATTGCTGTGATATATCTTTATTATATTTTTGATATACTTTCCTTGCTTCAGTTTTATTGTTCTGTAGCCGCCTCTGGCCATGGCAGATTTCAAAAATAATTATATTGTATTTTCGTGAACAGCGACTGTGACAGTGGTCCAATATTTTAAAATAATGATAATTCTCTAAAAGCTCATTATTAGATTCACAAAACATAACTCGTCTGTATACATACATACATACATACACTCCTATCGCCTGGCAGCCAAAAAATAATTAGACATCTTACTATTTATAATTCTAGTATTGACTTTGTTTTTGTACATATTTAAAACTTGGACCTGACACATTTTTTTATATCATAGTTTGCCATATTTCCGCTACGATGGGAACTAGGTGGCTGTTTCTCAATGGACGAGATTGTCATCTCTTTATATGAAATACTTTTATTCAATGAAAAATATATATAATATTATATATACATTTCTTTGTGTAACTAAAATAAAAGTTATTGAACATTTTTTAGTTTTTCCATTCAAGTAACGTCTCTTACATTATTTTTCTAATTCAGGTAGACTAAGAGTGACAGTCTGATAAATAATTTATGCTCTAATTAACAATCTATATGTATTTTTTATTTTCTTGAAATTCTTATTAATTTTATAAACAATAAAGACTAATTTTCTTTAAAAATCCAAATTATATGGCACAACTATCCACCTTTTAATTATAAGTGCAATAACCGAAATTATCGCACTTACAATTCTTATAATTTAGGAACGCCCTGAAGAAATACTACTACCATTCTTGCAAATCGAAATAACTCAACCGCAGCCTAAATAACATCAAATATTTTAAATTGTATCTTACGTTACCTATGTAAGCTATGTTGTGTAAAAGAGCGACAAATGGCAGTAAAATACAGGTCACGTGACTAGATATTCTATAGATAATAATGTAATGGTGCACTGGTGCTGAACTGCCACTGTATAAGTGGCAGTTCAGCACCAGTGTAGGATTATAGGATGGCCATGGGGTCAGTTCAGTTAGCCCTTGGCAAATTCGCCAGGGTATTTTTTTTTTAGTGGATAATGAAATGATGCACCCGCCTGCGCTAACGGTTTACGCTGGCGGGGCACCAGTGGAGGATGATATTATGAACATGAAGTCAGATCGCTTAGCCTATCGTGATAAGCGTAGAGGTCAACTTGATAGGATGCAATGCGGACATTTCATAGTCCTAATAACTAACCCTCCCCAATTTTTATAGGTTTTTATAGCTGATAGTATAACAATGCACACTATTATCGACGCAATCATTTATAAGGGCTTACCAAAACATATTTGATGGGTACATCGTATCAATTTTCAAATATGATTAAGTAATGATGTTTGGTGAAGATTTCAAAAATATATTAACACTTGATATTTTATATCTATATGTATATAGGTGTGTATTTCAATTGTCAATATGTATCGATTAATATCGATATCTCGAAAACAATATCGATATTATAGTCGACTGCGCTACATGTGTCTGTCAATTAAATGTCGGCATTTATTCAGTCACAGAATTTTGTGTCATTCAATCTCAATTTCTCTATTACTCTAAGTACTCTGTGCCTATATTCTTATCTTAAAAAATATTTTCGAATCAATTGCATCCAATTTTAAAATAAATTCAATTATTCATTTATTTGTATTATTATATATTATAAAATATTTCCCCTATATATTTGATCATAGTTTCACATCCTATATAAAGTTTTCATTTAACTAGTTATGAAAAATTTTTAAACAGTTTATGAAACTGTTACATATTCTGGCCATTAAATCTACTAACCTATTACTTAAAATTGTTGATTTACATGACCTAGGTTTCATTAGGATTCCTACCATATGTACTAAATTCATTCAGCAATAAGTAATTGTACCTGTACCAAAACAATTTATGAGCTGTGTCTGCAATTGCGCAAGTGTTACTTGAAAATATTTCTGGGAAAGTGGTCGACGTGCAAATAGTGAAAGGATTGAAGTGTACTTCACTCATTGAATTGAACCGGCGTGCGATGTGATTATGTCTCGAAAGAGAACCCGGTTAAGCAGCGAAGAGGAAATGAGTGGAAAGCTGGTAGAGACGGCCGCTGGTGGAGAACAGAACGGAAGTGAGACCAGTTTTACTAGCGTCACCAGTCTTCCTACAGTGGTGTCCGTTCAGGTTAGTACTTATCATAAATTTAAGATTAGTCAGTTAGGTATGGAATGGCAGTTTAGAGTATACCTGTCATATCTGATGTTGACTCATATAGAAGAAACAAAACTTACCACAGTCTGAGTGTAGACATATTAATGATTATAGATTGATCAGCAGTATGAATATGAAAATAATTGATTCTAGATTGGGTTATTTAACAGCTACAAATATTGATAATCCTTCATATACTATACTATAAAATCTTATAATCAAATCAATATTATAATCACATGTATCTGTGTAATTATGACAATAATTACACAGATCCATGTGTCTAACCTCTCAATTCATATAAGAATTATATATCTTGGTATTTATTTTACTAATTATTCTGATATCACAAAAGAAGGCACTACCCGAGATAGACTAAAAAGATAGAGATAAACTAAAAAGTTATCTGCATGGATACCGCAGTCTCACATATTTCTGCCACCAAATAAATTTGTAAACTGTGTTTGTGTTGTGGGGTGCAGACTGGGAAGAGTAATTAAAGGATAAGAGGCATATATCATAACATCTTAGGTTGCATGTATCACATGATACAAGTCCATAGTGCTGTTATATATAGACAGGACAATCCACTCAGCGCCTTTTAGTCACAACTGATAAAAATATTCTTTTTTATAAATACATAAGTAATATACATTTAAAAAACAAAAACCAATATAAACAACCATATTTATGACTACAAATGTTTGCACTGTGTAAGGTCTCGAATATGCTACTATGAGAAGTATGTCAATGTGCATTATTTTGCCTTGATACCATACTTTTCCTAAAATCTTTTTTCCAAGGATGTCAATTGTTAAAACTAAAACAAGCTATATTATTGTGTTATTAAAACTAAATCTTGCTATATATTATTATAATTTTTGCTTGTATATTCACACTAGCTGTAGATTGTATGATATAATGTAGTGTGAAGTGTTATTAACTAATGGATAAGTAGGTGTGGTGGCTTAATGTTTTCTGAATGCAAGCACCTCATACAGTAATCACAATGCTGACAGAAACAATGAATTTTACAATGCACATATTTTGTACTAACTGCAACTTTGTCTGTGTTTAATTTCTCCACCTTTTGCAATATTTTTCATTGTTGTTCCACTCCTATTGGTTGTAGAGTAATGCTATATAGCTTAAAGCCTACCTCGACAAATGGACTATCTAACACAAAAATAATTTTTCAATTAGAACCAGTAGTTCCTGAGGTTAGCGTGTTCAAACAAACATCTCTTCAGCTTTGTAATACTATAGTAGTGTAGATTGACCATGTTACTGTTCACTGATCACAGGCAAAGGTAATGGCTTTCCAACAAATGATCCACCCAATTATTTCACTATTCCACTTAAATAAAGAAACTAGTAGTTGATAACTCTGGAATAACATTTATATTTTATCAAATAATATAGTTCAGTTTAAGTTTATAGTTCGGAGTCCAAAGATTATTGAATTTGTATCTTTAGTTCCAATGATATTAGTAATTAGATAACAATAAAGGTCAAGGAATGAAAAAATTAATACTTTTTTGGGAAACTGGCTGACGGCCCACCCCTGATGCTAAGCGGAATTTGCCGCCTATATACATGCTCACTACATTACGTTACCATGTGACACTCCCATTTCAAATGACTAAGAAATCATTATCCTGTCATTTCACTAATTTGATTTAGTTAATATAGGGGATGAAAGGGGATTATTAGTAATGTGGATTGATGATTTTATTGCTAACCTTGTCAGGTTGACCTCCACGCGGTTCCCCCTCGAAACCATCGTGATAAATTCTTGGTGAATTTTCATGATTGGCTAACTGACCTGACCTAATGCTCATCTTATCATCCTCGACTGGTGCCCCACTGGTCCTTATAGAAATAGATTTTGTAAGAATTTATGTCTGTTAACCTCGCCTATTTCAGCCGACAAGCTTACTTTGTAGTAACTTTTGAGTTTTGTGTGTGTGTAAAGATAAGGCAATAAAATTACAAGATATGGTATGCTACAAGTCCCGCGGAGTTTGAGTCTAGATGAGGCTTTGGGGTCAGGTATAATATATATATTTATATATTATATTATTAAAATAGCCGTTTGTAGAGAGAGAGAGAGTTTTTTACATACAATTATACATTACAAATTACATATTAAACATTAAATATGTCCCTTGAACCTGACTCCAATTACATTTTCCCCTCATTCTTAATGAAGTCATTTGTTGAAAATGAAAACTATGAAATCAATAGTGCGGGCACGGCGCCAGCAATGTGGCGTGATCACTGACCATGTAGTGAATGTGTCGCATGAGTAAGTGGGCCGGCATGGCATACTGCCGTTGGGAATGCCATACCTAACGACGTGTATGGTAAACACGAATACAGTGATCTCTAATAGGTATAACGCAACTGCACATAGGTCATTCATTCATTGGGAATCTAGTCATCTGGATTCTCAGCAGCAGTATTGTTTTCATCATTAAACAACTGCTGCTACGTAAAATTTCCATTTCATTTCTCGATTATTCCGATATTTTCTACGAGAAGTTTCATGTAAATACTAAGAATAATAGTCAACAGTATTATTCATCTAATAGGTTCTTTAAATTTTACGGTCTACTTTTATAATGTTAAATGCATCCCATTTCAACGAAGTTTAATTTTCTATGCATTTTTGTATTTAATATCTTGTTGTTAATAGAATTAATAAATTTTTACTATTTGTAAATCATCTTCATAATAAAGAAAGCTGATATGACATCAGTACTGACATATAGAATGGATGCTTAATGCACACAAAATACATCGTAATCAAAGGTGTTTGAATATTCTTGGCTGCTGTACTAGAATATGTGTCATAGTGTTGGCAAATAAGCTCGCATTCAACTAGAGTAGAGTACTTTGTCGCAAAGATCTCGGTCACTGGGCCGGTCGTTACCCTTTTTGAAATTGATTCAAATCTGAACATGAATACACTTTCATAGTACTATTACATAATGTTATATCCAATTTTCATTATAATATAGCATAGCAATGCTACAAGTGTTACGATTAATATTCATTCAACTACTAATTATATTTAATTTATCACAAGCGACAATGACATATTTAATTGCGTCGTCGTATTGCGTCATATACAGAGCTAAAAAATATGTATCATTGAACTTTTATTTCATTTCAATTCTCAAACAGTATCCATATCAGAATGCCTGGTTGTGAAACTACCATCTTGTTTTAGATTCCATACAATGACTCACAAAAGGCTAGGATACATACTTCTGTAAGTCGTTTATGACAGTGTTCGAAAACTTGGATACATAAAGAAACGTTTTTCGTTTGTTGTAAAAAAAAAAGTGGTCTAATTTGTATTCTAAGACATATAGTATACTAGCTTTGCCCACGGTTTCAACCGCGTGAAATTTATAGCCTATATGTTATTCTGATGTATAAATTATATTACAGTAAAGTTTCATCAAAATTCATTCACAATTTTTGCGTGAAGGAGTAGCAAACATTCATCCATACTCACAAACTTTCGCGTTTATAATATTAAAATAAGATATGGATGCAGAAGTCGTGGAACCTGCTGTAGAAATACGTACACAGTAACTCAAGACTGTTACTACTAGATGGAATCCTAAATCAAGAGAAGAAAATGGTGAAATAATAAGGTCGGAAACTAGGTCAGCTCACCGTAAGGTATTTACTCGGAATTTACTACGAGTATTTGTAGAGACACATGTAGAGTCTAGGTAAATATTAATAGATTTAACCTGATCACTATCTTTATAATATAACATATAACTGTTATTCTATTTTACCATCCTACAAATGCAAAAAACTTCAGGTCGACCTTCATGCAATCCTCCTTGGAAACTATCGTAGTTAATTACTGGTGTATTCGCTGATATATCAACCCGGGTAGCCCCGTCCAATGTAAAACACCTAGGCGGTTTTATCTCTTTATTATCTATAAAAACACAAAGAAATGCAGGTTCTAAACTGTAATTTCAATATAGATTTAAAATCATTCCAATTTGGAATTGCTCTTTTAAAACATAAACCAGAATAAATGAAATAATGCTAGTTAGTTTTTTCTATGCCCATGTAATATGAAGTTATTACGTTACCAGTATGTATATAATTCAAGAGTATAAAAATTGCGGAGTAATTTGATAGGAATTAGTTTCCAGAGTAGACCGGTAATATACTAACAAACTAGAGCATATAACTGAACGAAGATAAAAAATCTAACCTCTTTCGTTAATTTCAATTTTCGATAGTGTTATAATGAAACGAATGCGTATGTACCGTAATATAAACAATACAAAGATTTATATTTACTTGTAAGAGTATGTGTCTTGCGTGTTATCTATGTATAAAATATAACTTCATGGTCGTTATCCCAGATGGTATACTCAGAGTTTGTCAATTATGGATGTGGTGAACGTGACACTTGACATTGACATCCTTATATTTCACCCATACCAATGCATGGGTGAAATGTAAGGATTATACCAACCATACCATCCCTGACAAGATGGATTCAGATATTGGGTATATTTGACTCCAGCGCGTCAGGTACCGACCCTACCCCGCAGTCAGACAGAATGCGGTAGATTTTTGGTTTGATTTTGTTTTAATAAGCAGACAGTCAAAAAGAAATATAAATTGTTACACGTAGTATAAACGTCTACATAAGTTTGAGATAACATAGGACCGTATATTATACCATGGTTACCTATTTATTTATTTTTTCTATTAATAAGTAATATATCCTCTATTATCGATTTAAAAAAAATCTTTTTTCCGTCTTTGCCTAGTAGTTAACTAAACTGAGTTTTTTTATTAATGATAATGGAATGGTGCACCCGCCTGCGCTAATGGTTTATGCTGGCGGGGTACCAGTGGAGGATGATAAGATGAGCATGAGGTCAGGTCAGTTAGTCCATCGTGACAAATTCACCAAGAATTTA